ATTGTGCTTAAGTGGTGGGGGTATTTTTTAGTTTAATTTATATTTCAAATTACGCGATTAGTACCTCTAGATATATTAGATTTTGAAATGTGATGTCACGAAACTTTGGACCCCTCCCACCCCTTGTCACACCATGTCACACTTTGTCGACCCCCTCCCCCCCTCTTTACGTGTGACGTACTTTATGGATGACCCCTAAAATATCAAAATCGTTTATCAAAATCATAAAATAGTAATATAATAGTTCGGTCGAAGAGATTCGGAGGACTTTAATTCAAAGTGTGTACTTTTTCGCATATTATTTAGATGTAAGGGAGAGTCCGCTAATTTGGACCAGTTTTTTTCAATCCCATTTTACACATAGTTTTCTTTTGTTTTTGCTAATGTTCATGGTATATAATAAAAGATACATTATTCAACTTACTATTTCATAACTATTAATTAACATGATTGTTGTATATTTAGCACAAATCAACAAAGTACGAGTTCAGAGCTTCGGTCCAATTTAGCCAACCGGTTCGATAATTTGTACCACAGGGATACTAAATTGGATTTCAATAAATTTCAATCCTATAAAAAAACTATGGCAAAATATTATACGATACATTCTTAACAAATTAGGAAACGAAGAGGAACAGTAGTTAATAATATAGAAAATCGATATTGTTTTACACGTTATCACGATTTTGAGTACAAGTTTTGTAATTCCAATTATCGTAACGCACACTTGTACCTAATCTACTTTGCCAGTCTTTTGCTTTCATTTATTGTTAGTCAAACATAACTACGCTATTATAACTTCAAAATATGATTTACTAAAAAAAAATTCAAAATCCCTTGGTAAAGTTCCTTACAACTTGATGTGGTACAATTTAGCCGACTAGGTGATAGTGCTTTTAAAAAATCGGTAAAAAATATAGCTTATAAATACCGAAAAATGTTTCAAATAATTGTAATCCACACTAATTTACGCTTCTAANATGTCATTCAACTTACAGTGGAGGAACTAGTATCAAGCGTCCCGAGTTCCACACAAGTGACCGACGCCAGCGGGACTCGTTGGACCGACAGCAGGCGGTCTGAAGTCTCGTCATAGTCGGCTACGTAGTACGCGTCACTCGTCAATATTCATAGCCCCTACTCGATGGACGGACGATCTAGTGAAGGTATCCAGTCCACCGAGTGACTGGCAATACGCTGTCGTTCTACTTACAGTGGACGAGCTAGTATCAAGCGTCCCGAGCTCCACACAAGTGACCGACGCCAGCTGGACTCGTTGGACCGACAGCAGGCGGTCTGAAGTCTCGTCATAGTCCGCCACGTAGTACGCGTCACTTGCCCCCACTCGATGGACCGACGATCTAGTGAAGGTCGCCTAGTCTACCTAGTGATTGTTAATATTAACTCGCTGTCATTTTACTTACAGTCAAGTTACAGTGGAGTACGCAACGCTCGTCTATATTCATCATCATTCGTTCGTTCGTTCGTTTCAGCCAAATGACGTCCACTGCTGGACAAAGGCCTCCCCCAAGGTTTTCCACAATGAACGGTCCTGCGCTGCCCGCATCCAGGCTCTTCCCGCGACCTTCACCAGATCGTCGGTCCACCTAGTAGGAGGCCTGCCCACGCTACGTCTTCCAGCCCGTGGTCGCCACTCGAGAACTTTTCTGCCCCAACGGCCATCGTCTCTACGAGCTATGTGCCCCGCCCACTGCCACTTGATTTTAGCAATTCTGCGAGCTATGTCAGTTACTTTGGTTCTCCTGCGGATCTCCTTATTTCTGATTCGATCACGCAGGGAGACTCCGAGCATAGCCCGCTCCATCGCCCTTTGGGTGACCTTGAGCCTTCTTATGAGGCCCATAGTAAGCGACCACGTCTCAGATCCGTATACCATCACTGGCAACACGTCATCATCATTACTTCAGACGAATGATGCTGGACAAAGGCTTCCCTCAAGGTTATCCACAACGACCGGTCCTGCATACAGGTGCTTCCCGCTACATTCACCAGTTCGTCAGTTCACCGAGTGACTGTCAATATGTCGTTCTACTTACAGTGGAAGAGCTAGTATCAAGCGTCCCAAGTTCTACACAGGTGACCGACGCCAGTGGGACTCGTTGGACGGACAGCAGGCGGTCTGAAGTCTCGTCATAGTCCGCCACGTAGTATGCGTCGCTTGTTAGTATTAANCAATATTCAAAGCCCCCACTCGATGGACCGACGATCTAGTGAAGGTCGCCAGTCCATCTAGTGAGTGTTTATTAACTCGCTGTCATTTTACTTACAGTGGAGTACGCGACGCTCTTAAATATTCACCATCATCACTTCAGCCAAATGACGTCCACTGCTGGACAAAGGCCTCCCCCAAGGATTTCCACAATGACCGGTTCTGCGCTGCCCGCAACCAGGCGCTTTACGAGATCGTCAGTCCACCGAGTGGCTGGCAATACGCTGTCGTTCTACTTACAGTGGAGGAGCTAGTATCAAGCGTCCCAAGTTCCACACAGGTGACCGACGCCAGCGGGACTCGTTGGACCGACAGCAGGCGGTCTGAAGTCTCGTCATAGTCCGCCACGTAGTATGCGTCGCTTGTCAGTATTAACACGCTGTCCATTTCTGTCTCGTGTGGGTCGCCGGTGCTGTAAAGAAAATAAGATGAATTGGAAAAAAATACAATAAACAGAAAAATATTTACAGTAAAATGACTAACCAATCTTTGAATCTAAGGCTAGGTTTCACCATCTTACTTTAACTTTAACAAACGTCAAAAATCTGTCAGACTGCGTACAAAAAACACCGGTTATCGTTATAGTTACGATCCGGGAAGCATGGTCGATCTGTTTTAATGGTTTTAATTTATTATTTAATGGACTTTNAGTATTAACACGCTGTCCATTTCTGTCTCGTGTGGGTCGCCGGTGCTGTAAAGAAAATAAGATGAATTGGCAAAAAATACAATAAACAGAAAATATTTTACGGTAAAATGACAAACCAATCTTTGAGTCTAAGGATAGGTTGCACCATCTTACTTTAACTTTGACAAATGGAAAAAATCTGTCCAACTCCATACAAAACCACCGGTTATCGTTAAAAATACGGACGGTCAAAGTCAGGTGGTGCACTCAACTTAAGTCAAAATGAAAATAAATTTTCTAGTTTGAATAATTAACTTTTGAACGCGCGTTTGCGAATCACACAAGTCCAGTGTCGTTAATAATCAAAATTATAAAATAGTAATATAAGTTCGGTCGGAGAGATTCGGAGGACTCTGATTCTATGTTGTATTCTATGTTTTTCGCACATTATTTCGATATATTATTGTATTTATATTGTATTGTATCCAAACAGAATGAAAATTGCATCCTCTCCTCACCTTTACGAGTTGCCACAATACCTTAGCTATTGTGGATAAATATGTAAATGATAAATTCAAGTTATGAAACTCACTTAGGATCAGCGTCAATGAGTCCCCAGCTGCCTAGTACGGGTTCGGTGTCAACCAACAGCTTCTTGCAGTCGTCGATGAGCGACTTGACGTGCTGCGCCATGGCCGCCGTGTCTGGGACCGACTGATCCTGAAGATGGAAAAGTTGCTTTTATAATTCCGTAAGAAACAATTCTAAAGCAAAAGTATGGAATCATCCTCTTTGTTCCAAGCGACTTTAAGCCTTAAGGGCCACGTTACTTAAACTTGCGCAGGTTCCCGAAGCGGGCACTCGTGTGATTATTTTGTAAAACTTTAATTGATACCTTGATAGTAAGTATAGTAATTTAATTTTTAAGATCGCTCGGCAAACAAAAAACACGACGCCGTGTTCTTGCTCGTAAGAATAATTAAAAATTATTGTAAGATTATTTATATCTTTGTCTTACGCAGCCAATTTACTCATACGATATTTGACTAAATTTTTTTGACTTTACTAAGGTTTTAGGATGACAATAGGTCATTTGAAACGGAAATGTTATTTAGGGATCCAGGATGTAGCGCAACAAGGATAAAATGAAAGCTAGGAATATAGGAAGCTAAGAGGCTAGGAACAGGACTAGGGACGCACGTTGAACATGAGCACCTTGACCTAGGTGCACCATCCGCAGTCTACGTACAGTTGTTCCAGGATGGAGCGGGACTCTCCTTAACTCTAGAAGCTAGGAACAAGGCTAGGAGTAGGAACAGGACTAGGGACGCACGTTGAACATGAGCACCTTGACCGAGGTGCACCGCCCGCAGTAGATACAGTTGTACCGGGCTCAAACGGGACTCTCCTGACACGCTAGGGACTAAGAGGCTAGGTGTAGGAACAGGACTAGGGACGCACGTTGAACATGAGCACCTTGACCGAGGTGCACCGCCCGCAGTCCGGCACGTACAGTTGTTCCAGTATGGAACAGGACTCTCCTTAACTCTAGGAGCTAGGAACAAGGCTAGGAGTAGGAACAGGACTAGGGACGCACGTTGAACATGAGCACCTTGACCGAGGCGCACCGGCCGCAGTACATACAGTTGTTCCGGGCTAGAACGGGACTATCCTGAAAAGCTAGGAGCTAGGGAGCTAGGAGACCCGCGACACGTAAAGTTATACCAGTATGGAACAGGACTCCTTAACTCTAGGAGCTAGGAACAAGGCTAGGAGTAGGAACAAGGCTAGGAGTAGGAACAAGACTAGGGACGCACGTTGAACATGAGCACCTTGACCGAGGTGCACCGGCCGCAGTCCGGCACGTACAGTTGTTCCGGGATGGAGCGGGATTCCCCTGTCATGACGTCTATGGCCACTTGACGGAGCGCGTCTTTGAAGGTAGACAGGTAGTATCTGCAACAAAGCGGTTGATGACATTCTATGTATAGGGTTGTCTATTGCTTCCATAGAGTTCACTCTTATATTGAGACGCTCGTCGACGACTGAAATCTTGAAGAAGTAGACGTTGCTTATTTAAACTGTCAAGTGGCGTTGGTTTAGACTAAACTGGCCGGGTGATTGTTACAGCGAAAAATAAAATTCATCCTTTTTCGAAGAACACGAAACGTATGTACAGTCGCGGAATGAAAAGGTTCGTCACCTTAGTGTCGGTTTTCGCTTGCACTAGGTACTGTAAGAGTCAAACCTGCCAACATAACCGTGCAAGAAACAGTGCTGCTAACATTTAAATTAATATGACGTTTGCTAACGAATAAGGTTTTGCTTGTTTATTTTTCTATGCCATCAGTGCAATGAACTGCAATGCAATGATAACATTGACCAATTGACAATAGTTTTTTTTATTTAATATAAATAATAATGGCAGGTTGAACCAACAAGAAGGTTTTAGTTTATCAATCATAATAATCTTCTTGACAAGATAAATCGGCAAACAACTTTGACATCAACATCTGAATAATTTTGAACTTTACTGACGAACGGTTAAAGATTATTTTCCCTAATTCAAGATTATTCTGTAACATAGTTTCAAAAGGTAATATGTGCTCGCGATTCGTTGAAGGAATCAATTTGAAAACTGACGAACCTTTTCATTCCGTGACTGTACATAAAGCATTTACACGCTCACGTTCACGCAATGGAGACAGCGAAATCATGACGCTTAGGCTGAGTTGCAACCTTAATTTGATATACTTTTGACATTTGTTAAAGTTAGATGGTGCAACCCGGCCTTATTATCTTTACAATAATGAATAATGAAGTGCTTTTGAAGAAATTAAATATTAAGCCAATTTAGTAATCGTAATGAAAGCGTTATTTCGGCACGTCTAACAAAATAGGCATAAGAATAATTTTCGCTGCCTAGAAAATTGACAGTTTTTTCCACAACAGATAAGCTCTTGGCCTGCATCTCACCTTATAGTAAGTGATGATCAGGCCGAAGGTGGAAGCGAGCTTCGCCCGGAATTCTCAACCACACTCATATTAATATTACCAGACATCTAAACGGTTATTGATTGTTAAACCAGTGTACACACGAATATCAAGTTATTTGTGTTACGGTGAGGAGGTCGCAACATAACATTGAGGTCTGATTCCGAATTTCCACTCTCAAACAAGGATAAGCTACTGTCAAACTATGGTCATAAGCACGGTAATACTTATGATAATATTACCGTGTCATAAGTGAGTCATCTGAGAGTGGATTCATACTTGAACTGCTTTCAGAAATAAAGACTTCAGTCTGACAGCATTATACAGAGTGTTGTTTTATAGTTGATCAAACAAAAACGTTTTAATCCACTACTCAAACACAACTACTTTTCTTACAGGACCAATATAAAAAAAATATTGACATCCCCTACATACAAATGACTGATGCTGAAGATAATTTGTATGAAAATGATTTTTTTTTTTCAACATTTGAACTTTCGAATCAATATTCAATGCAACCAATGTTGCATTTGAAAAGTAGAATCAATCCCTTTTGTTTGATCAAGTACAAAAGTAACACATTTTAACTTTTATTGAACAAGAAAAAAGATAATTAAGCTAAAAGTTAATAGTGGAACGGAATCTGACCCAATAAAGCGATAACATAACTTGAGAAAAACTTTGCCAATATCAATACAAACTGACCTCCCCAGTCCGTATGCAATTTCAGCCGTCGCAAACTCAGTAGCCAATGGATGTCCAAAGTAACTTGGCATCAACTCTAACTTAGGCCTTTCAGTGTCCATATTCTCAAATACCATCATGGACGCCGTTTTTAAATCGCGCCATAAGTCGTCTATTTCGTCTATGGCCGCCATATTGACAGGCTGCCCGAGAGCGATGTCTATGGCGCACTGCGTCAGTGCGTCATTGAAATGACATATGATGAATCTGTGATAGGAAAAATACACAGCTTTCAACATTGTTCGATGTTCGTATAAAGCAGAGTTTTCGGCGCGTTTTGCCCTACATAATCAACAAAAATATCTCAACATTCAACAAAATGGCCTACTAAAAATGTTGAGTGTTGACATGTTGATTGTGTAGGACAAAACACGCGTTGGAGACCCGGCTTTACGTAGTTCGTGGGTATTTCTATCCGTCTTAGATTTCATCATCACCCGATGATTAATGATTTGTTTGTGGCGAGTGGCAAACAATAAATAGTTGAAGGTGGCCTAAGTGATTGTCTATGGTACCTGTTAGCTGACGCGACGCCATCTTTCATCATGCCGGTGAATTTTCTTTCGCCTGTTCTCGTGTAATCGCCCTGTAACAAAAAATATGGGTATCAGTTGATTGTATTTTTTTTACATTTCAGTTACTTCTATGCACTTGACCCTAAACACACGTGCTAACATGGCCACTAGTGTTATCAGCGGCTATGGAAGTTCGTGGTAATTATCATGGTAGCGGTGTTTATAAGTGGCTAATATGGCCACCAGTAGCTATTGGTGGCTCAGTAGCTCTCTTGGCACTCACCTGAATCCTGAATCACAGTAGTCCTAAAAAAAAAACATCAAGTACATCTATGCTTTGATGTTTTTTTTTTGTAAATATCGTATTCGTTTTACTATGCTGTCTATCAATGCCATAAAGACAACGCGAATGCGTTTCTAATTCGTAAGTTTACTTGTCAAATTTTTCATCTAAAATACTTTAGCGCCTTAGTGCCGGCCGTCATAGTGCAACTCTATCATGGCTCTCGGTCACTACGGTGCCGTGACTACCAGTGGCTATCATAGCTTTCGGTAACTATGGTGTCGTGGCTATCATGCTTACTGACAGTGGCTGTAAGTGGCCGTCGGTGACCATCATGAAACTTATCGCTACCATGGCTATGCGAGTACCTCCAGCGCCTTGGTGCCGGCGTACTGCCTGGATACGACGTCTCCGTTGTCGGCCCACATGGTGAGGAAGGCGTGGCGCAGCGCCGGCGGCAGGCCGCAGCCCGGAGTTCCTAATCCCAACCGGCACAGCTGGAGTCTAGCAGTGGCTATCGTGGCTATGGTGTCGTGGCTATCGTGGCTTTTGGTCACTATGGTGTCGTGATTAAGAGTGGCTTTCGGTTACTATGGAGTAATGGCTACCATGCTGACTGACATTGGCTATCGGTGGCTATGAGAAGCTATCATGGGCCACTGCGGCTATCGTGGGTCACTGTGGATATCAATGGCCACCATGGTTGTGTGAGTACCTTCAGCGCCTTGGCGTTGACTGACAGTGGCTATCGGTGGCTATCAGTCGCCACCATGAGACTTATGGCTACCATGGGCCATTGTGACTATGGGATTACCTTCAGCGCCTTGGTGCCGGCGTACTGCCTGGACACCACGTCTCCGTTGTCGGCCCACATGGTGAGGAAGGCGTGGCGCAGCGCCGGCGGCAGGCCGCAGCCCGGAGTCCCTAGTCCCAACCGGCACAGCTGGAGTTCTAGCACGTATTTCGCTATCGCTGTCTGTAAGGAATATACAAGAATTAAACTTTCACGTCTTATTATATTTGAAACTGAGAATAACGAGTCACAAACGCGACATTCATTATGTTAAAGATTAATAAGATATTCTGCTTGTGACCATGGGTAAAGTAACATAATAGCAGGGGACGTAGTGTGAGATTACGTCAAACGCATTCGATGTCGACTGCGTAAAAAATGACATTAAATGTATGACAGATTGTACAGCGCCTCTAGCGGAAACTTTCAAGAACTAAAATCTTCATATATTTTTAACGCGCTCTCCAGTGACGACGTTTGTTGTAAACTCACAATAAGCCCTCAGAACTCATGTTTATACTACAAAGAAAAAACATTGAATTTCCACATACACGTCTGTGGCTGTCAAGGCGATCAGTGCTATTAGTAACTCTATCTTGGTAACCAGTAGGCCTAAGATGCGCGCCGCGATAAGCGGTAATCACGCCATTTTATCGATTTTGCCCATACATTTTAACATCGATAAAAGTTATCACGGCGCGCATCTTAGGCTTGGTCGGCTACCAGTGCCTGTCAGAGCTCACGGTAGTTGTGGCGATTGTCGTGGCTATCAGTAGCTATAATTTACTGCCAGTGGCTATCTTGGCCATGTGCTACCAGTGACAATCGGAGCTCTTGGTAACTATCATGGATTTGGTAGCTATCAGTGGCCATCAGTAGCTATAGGTTGCTATGAGTGTCCATCGGTATCTATCAGTGGCTATCAATGGCTATCACATCACTTACCTGAACAACATTAGTCCTGTCCAAACAGTCGATGCAATTCACCCTAAACACTCCATTCTGCGCACAGATCAAGCCGCGGTCATCGCGCCAGCAGAATATCATCTAGCCGATAATGTCCGAGATCGCGTGGATAATAAGTGACAATCTCTATCTGTACCTACCAGTGACAATCGGAGCTCTTGGTAACTATCATGTCATCGGGGCTATCAGTGACCATCGGTGGCTATCAGTAGCTATGAGTGATTATAGGTGGCTGTCAGTAGCTATAGGTTGCTATCAGTGGCTATAAGTGGCTATCATATCACTCACCTGAACAACATTAGTCCTGTCCAAACAGTCGATGCAATTGACCCTGAACACTCCATTCTGCGCACAGATCAGCCCGCGGTCATCGCGCCAACAGAAGCGCATCTCGCCGATAAAGTCCGAGATCGCATTGATAATACGTGACAATCTCTATCTGTAGCTATTTCAGCTACCAGTGACAATCGGAGCTCTTGGTAACTATCATGGATTTGGTACTGTGGCTATTTCAGCTGCCAGTGACAATCGGAGCTCTTGGTAACCATCATGGATTTGGTATCGGTGGCTATCAGTCGCTATAGGTGGCTATCAGTCACTATAGGTGGCTATCTGTCGCTATATGTGGCTATCAGTGGCCATCGGTAGCTATCAATGGCTATCACTTACCTGAACAACATTAGTCCTGTCCAAACAGTCGATGCAATTCACCCTAAACACTCCATTCTGCGCACAGATCAGGCCGCGGTCATCGCGCCAACAGAAGCGCATCTCGCCGATGATGTCTGCTATCGCGTTGATAAGGATGCTCACGTTTTCGTAGTGCATGCCGCGGCTGGAGGAAAATGAGCTTTATTGACAAGGAGAAAGTGGTGGTTTTCTTATGTTTATTGAAGGTAGTGCATGCCGTAGCAGGAGGAAAATAAGCTATTTCACAAGATGACGCTGTAACGGTGGAGTATGATGCTCCAAATCGCTATATAGCAGCGTTTTTGAGCGTCAGCAAGTTAATAAATGAAATCATTTTTTGATGTTAAGATAACGCAATGTAGGTATTACACTATATCGCCACTACTGTTTAGGACTGGCTTTAGAATTATTATTTAGCGCTAACGCACGCTGACGCTGAAGCGTCGATGAAGAGAGATGAGCGTCACTCAGGAAAGTTTCCTTTTACTTACATATTGACCTGTCAGCGCCGACGATCAGCGAGCGGTCAGCACGATTCTAAAACCCGTCTAAGAGTGCCTTAGCAAGGTACTAACGTTCGAAAATCGCTAGTGTGTAGGACTCTTACATGTAGATTGAATTAGGTAAATAGCTAATAAATAGAATAGAGTACTCAACAAACTTCAGAAAAGTACTAACTTAACTTTTAAACAATCTCAAATGACAACTTACCAATACTCATGGAAGTCGAACGTAGCGTATATGATATCCGGGCTGTTGTACTTCAGCACATGGTTGCCATACGTCTCCCATATGATCCGCTCTCTTCCCTGCTGCTCCACTAAGTTCACAATGCACACTTGCTTGTATATGTTCAGTTCTTCCTGGAAATGGTTCTTGAAGGCTCCGTGAGATTCCTCTTCGGCTGTTAGAGGGAGATAGCGAAATGAGGTTACGACAGACAAAAACTTTTAAGTACGGTCGTCATTAACCTACTGGGTCCTGGGCATTTAGAAAGAAACTTGTAAAGAGAAAGTGTTCTAAGCAGTGCCACACAGCGATGCTCATTGCAATGGAACCCCTGCAAGCCCTGGCCACCGATGATGAAGGCTTCGACACTGGTTTTCAGTGTGCCCAGTGCCGAGTGAGTTACATACTTTTTAGGATCAAAATTAAATGGCCCATGTCCTGTAAAAAAGACTGTTAGGTTTTTTTATAAGGTACATAGTGTTTAAATGTTTTTAGACGAGCGGCCCCTCGATCGCGAAGCCCTGGGCACGTGTGCAGAGTGTCTAGTCATTTGCATTGTTGGAAAAGACGGGTTTGCTGTTAATATAATAAAATCCGTTTTACAAAACAACGTTCAACCTCTAATTGAAGCAGAATGTGTGTGTAATATAAATAATACAAACTTCTGTCAAGGCGAGGAGGCGGCCTGAACTTGTAGTCTGGTTGACTCCAAAATATGGGCACCGATCCGCGAACCTGTGAAAATGATGGACTTTTATGTTGTATTCAAATGTGTACATACTTTATGTTTAAAGAACTTTAATGATTTCCCCTAAGGATTATCGCACTACTTAAGTAAATACTGTTAATTGAGCATAATGCTTGCGTTTTGTAAGTATCTGTCCATTGTTATGCGTCAGAAGAACAACAAAGCAGGCACTTCGCTACACGATTATGAAATCGGTGCCTAATCGAAATCAATGCCAACGGATTAAAGTAAAAATAGTCGTACTTCCAGCTTTATACCTTTCTTTACACCTTTATTGCCATATTTATTATGTATAAAAATCTTGGACGAATATAAAAATACTTCATTACACTAATAAAATCTATGCTTGTTATCATAATATCTGTTGTTATCAGACTCTACATTATAAAATCGTTTTGCAATGTTTTGGCTAAATTATTGATGTTTTTTGGCTTCGCCTTACTTATACTTTTTATAATTTATAAGCTTATCTAAAATATTTTGAACGTACTACAGACACATAATGAAAGATTGGCTGAATTTGGCTGCATCTGCACCAAATACACAGACTGGTGAAACGGTGGATGCTGACCATAGCACATACAAAAAGCCTTTCAAAACGGTATCCCAATTCGGACATTGGTGTAACAAAAGTAATCGGCGCACGTTCAAAACCAACAGCGCATGACTGTAACTGTAGAAAGGCGTTTTACTTTCTACGAGTGAAACTTATAATAATACTTAACATGACTCGGGTGCAATTTACAAGATTAATGTATGTATTTCCTTTTTATTTGTGAAATAAAATATATCTATGAGGCTACGATACAATCATAAGCTTGTATGTATAAAAGTTTTAATCGAAGTCAAATGTAGCTGAATACCTATACAATAAATTATTACCTACTGTAGGTAATATCAATTTTATATTAATTGATAAATTTATAATTTGTTTCCTATAGCCTTCACGCCTTTTGATTTAGCATAAATTATACGCGATTTGTAGCAATGAATATGAACTATACAGATTCAAAATCCATTTATTCTTTTAATGTAATGTAATAGGAAATTAATGAAATAAATTGAAATGTCTGTTAGATCATTACACATTGGGTTATTTTGTGACATGATGACTCATGACACAACTATTATTTTGTAGGTATTGTAATTAGATATGGTTATTCATTCGTAATTTTGCATGGTATGCTCTGCTTACTATGGGGTACTGACCTCATTGTGAGATAAATATAATTTTGGCTTGATATGCAAGGTTCAAAATGGCATACATGCATAATTACCATATTATGATGATTGATAGCTGTTGGAATATACTACAGCGACTATTTTGCTCTGTAGCCGTATGGGCACATACCCAGTGTGTGTATACCCAGTTACCTTGGCGCAGATTGACTTGTTAGTAAGGTTCAAAATGTAATATCCACACGAATGCCCTATGAATGCTGTCAGAACAGATTAAGTTTGTAAGTTTATCACGTATTACTTATTAACAAAGTTCAAAGTGACGTATTAGAACAATTAATTGGTAGTGTGAGGTTCAAAATATCTGAGACATATCTGCACAAAGTTGGCTCTGTGAATACTGTCAGAACAGACTATGGACATGATTTGCTGTCTCTAGATAGTTCGCCGGGTTCAATACCGTTAAGATTTGAAAATCACGTATTACTTATTAGGTTCAAAGTGATATAATATGAGCTTGTGCCGGGTCACTGTGGTTGTACTTTAGCTCTTAATTACTTGGTAGTAAGGTTCAAAACGACATACCTGCACAAAGGTGGCTCTGTGAATACGGTCAGAACAGACTATTGAAATAATTTGCAGTCTCTAGATAGTTCGCCGGATTCAATACCGTAAAAGTTTGAACTTTGTCAAGTATTACTTCTTAACAAGGTTCAAAGTGACATATCAGCATGTGCCGGATAAGAAGTCACTGTGATTGTACTTTAGCTCTTAATAACTTGGTAGTAACGTTCAAAATGACATACCTGCACGAAGGAAGCTCTGTGAATGCTGTCAGAACAGACTATGGAGACGATTTGCTCTGTCTCCACATAGTTCGCCACTTTGCCACCGGGTTCGATGCCTCGGCGGTTGTACCTTTGAAAAGAATTAAAGTTGATTTTAAAAAGCGCTTTTACGTGTCCCGAATCAGCTTACTCTACCACCATTTCGGGACAACTTTAGATAACCCAACATAAAATGTCTTTGGATTTTAGCGCCTTAGGAGGAAGGCAAATAAATTGGGAAAAGGTCAAGTAGAAAAAGAAGAAAATTGACTTAACTTAAGCTGTAGCAAGATGGTAAATCTTACAAATTTTGTATTGCTTCTTACAAAGCAATTTTGACCTGACTTTATAAGCAAGTTCAAAGTATAGCCATTTATCATCTGACTATTTGAACTTGCTTTTTTTTTAGGAAAAATAGAAGCATTTATTGCGAGATTCGAATGTTCTATTCTCATATTGTTCACACAACACACCAGAAAAAACTTCAATAGCTAAACATCATGGCATTTTATGCAGTACAAATAAGATCTATTTTAGAGTAAAAATGTATGTTGTTATTAAATTTTTAGCATTAAGAGATGCATCTTAAACTTATTTGATTAAATAAATCCAACATTGATGAAACAAACGCTGGCCGTAACAGCGTATTACACTTGAAAATTTCGACGGGTTCATCCAGTGTCTAAGTAGCTCAGTTGGAAGAGCAGTCGCCCGGCAAGCGGAAGGTCGTGGGTTCAATTGCCGCCTTAGGCAGTTCGATTTTTTCAAGTTATTTATAATTAAAAAAAAGTATGTTGATTACAGCATATTTCTTTACTCACCTAGTGCCAGCCTGGTACCTCGACCGCCGTGAGATCAAGCCCAAAGTAAAGGTCTCGTCGCAAGAGTTAGTGTTGGTCAGAGACTCAGTGTTCAGTGGGTTGCTGTCTGCTGGTTCCACCGCTATTTGTGACAGGTGGACGTAGCCTTGGATGATGGGGAGCACCCATTGATCGCATTTGGGACTCTAAAAAGTATTTCATCATCAAAAAAGATAGAAGTCACGATAGCCGAACGGTGAGGGGGTCGGACTAGCCGACTCGTGATCCGGGGAACGCGGGTTCGGGCCCCGCCGCGCTCGACTATTGTGGTGAGCTCACTTGTTTGTAACACAAGCATATTTGGCTTAGTACGAGGGGCTAACGGGACTATAAGTAATTTGTGCAATTAGAAATTATCCTACTAATAATCTTAAAAAAAAAACAACATTAGGTCGTTTGGCGGAATAAAGCGCTTATTAGTAAAATACTGATCGCTAAGGCAGTTTTCGGCGAGGAAACGTTTGCTAATTGCAATAGTGACGTGTTTCATTATTTTTTTAATAGCGACAGCCCTTAGCGATCGCCATTTAGCTTATAAGCGTTTTTAAGCACTTCTTTTCTATTTATTTATTTATTTTATTTGGTGCACAAAACAGGGATACAACCATAACATACAAAGCTTTTAAAGCAGGCTATACAGTAAAACTTGTTGCAGCTCCAATAAAAAGTGCACACAACATACAATGCTATTCGAGTTAACAATAATTATACATAATACATGAATTATAAATAGTTAACAATAATTATACATAATACATAAATTATAAATAGAAAAATAATTATTTAATGTTAATTAATAATGGAAACAAGTTATCTAAATATATAAAAGGAGAAACTGACTGACTGACTGACAGATCAACGCACAGCCTAAACGGCTAAACGTAGGCACTTGAAATTTGGAAGGGACGTAGCTTAGGTACCGTAGAGGTGCACTAAGAAAGGAATTCCCGAAATTCCCACGGGAACGGGAATTAGCGGGAAAAACGGGATTCACGCGTACGAAGTCGCGGGCGGCCGCTAGTTAATAAATATAATGAAATTTAAATCAATAATTCTCTAAGAAATAAAGATGAGAGAGGAATTATTTAAGTAACAATTCATTAACAGCTTTTTTGAATTTGTTTAGGGTAAGGCTGTAGATGTCAGGCACCTTCTCTATATCGGGTGTGAGCTTGTTAAAGTCTCGGCAGATTCTATGCATGGCGCTGTGAGAGGACGCGTTTTCGCCAAAAGCCCCCATTATTTCAATAAAACTCATAAAACTCATTTATTTATGCAAATAGGCTTTAAAAAGCACTTTTACACATCCCTGTATTAACCCTACCACTGCTTCAGGACAATAAATGGGCCAATGCAATAAGGTTTCTTTTAATTTTTTCTTTTTGTTAGTAAGTAATTACAAAAGAGTTTAAATATTTGGGAAGTTACTTGTTGTAGATTATCGTGATAAGATTATGATGATAGATATAAGTGAAGTTACTTGTTAAATTAGATAAACAATGAAATCAACAGATAAGATATGAATGACTTAAAAGCACTTTAGAAAGTAAACTTCAAACATGTAATAATAATGCACCTATTTTTTTAAACCTCATACACATAAAATAAGCCAGTACTTATGCAAGACTTCAGCTATAGCCATCTATTTTGAACTTAATACAAATAAAATGAGGTTCAAAATGAATTATACTCTTTAATCTACATACCTCTAATGCAATGATGTCTTTTAGCATGTGTTTGTTCCAGAAGAATCTATCGTCAACATGTTTAAACCATCTTGTGATGTCCGTAACTGGCTTTCCTGTCCCTTCTTCGGTTTCCAGAATCTTTTCAATCTCATACTGTCTTTGTAAAGTGTTCGTCAAGTCTAGAGTCCGGGAGTAGTAAAAACTTTCTGAATCGTCAAAGATTTTGTGGAGCTCATCGGTGAGACGTTTCTCAAACCGTTCGGCTAATTTTGGATCTCTTTGCTTTTTCACTGTTTGTTTCACCTTTGAAAAAAAATACATAATAAGAAATTACCTTAATAACATTAAGCCCCAGAATTATGAATTAATAACATTGATTATTCATTTAATTTGATTTATCATAAATATCATTAAGGATAAAGGAAGAACACTATCATGTTAAATTAATAAGTTATTTTCAGTCTGCAAAACTAAGATAACACATTGAATATATAATTTGAACTAGAAAGGAAAATGTAAATAGGAAGCAATAAACTATGGCCAATTTTTAACTACAAATGAAATTATAATTATAAAATTGGTGAATAACAGCCTACAACAAACAAATTACCTGTGTAGCAGCTTGTTGAGTAGTAGTTTTGATAGTATTACTGACGTTTTTGACCGCACCAACTGTTTTATTCAGAAATGCAGAGTTCTCAAACAGGCGCCCTCCCATTTTCCTGTTGATTGATCTCCCTGAACTAGCTACAGAGCTCGAGGACCCATGTTTTGTGCACGGACACAACTCTACTTCTTGATTTGTCACACCCATGTTCAAGAAACATATCGATTTAATTTTATAAATTGTGTGATGAAAATAAATTTGACCAACTGGCACACTCTCCTTTATGATCATGAGACGCGGTTCGAATATATTGGAATGTTCCACCTTGCCTAAAATGCCTTCTGTTATGCCCAGACATTCTATATCTTCGATATCTGAGAGGTCCCATGCTAAAAATAAGAAATTATTGAAAATATATTTATGATGAATGAAACTTATTTTGTACAACTATTATTAATTGAAATCAAATAAAAAACTGTTTGAAAATACAATTAGTTTATTTTCCTACCTAAACTGAGTATAATCTAGGTCAGTTAACAAAGCAAAATATGATAAAATACGAAATTGAATGCGTACCTGATTTGACTGAAAAAGCCCCAGTTAACCGGTTCCACCACAAACTTGACTCGTTTCTAACAAATATATAATATTGATCTGATCGAAACAATTCCATTATTGCCAAAATTATTTATTTTTCGCGTCGTTTCTATTGAATTTCATCGTGTTTATTATTGTTGTAATTTGTAGACATTTGACATTTCAGAAATTGGGGAAGGGGCAGATGACAGTTAGTTTCTAAATGGTGGTATCATTTCCGGTACATGGCGTTGAGATGGTCGATATTGATTGAAAAAAAGAAACGTGTAAAGGAACGTTATTTTTTAAAATATAAAACCATAATAAAACAGAATAAGTTAAGTGAATTCAATAAAATAAATCAGCTAAGCTTGCTTTAGTCTTCTGAAATTATTTTCACTATAATAGAAAACGAATCAAAGTAATAGTAAAAAAAAATTTGGAGGCACTCGATCGTATCAAGTTAAACATTTTTTTCAATTATAATGTTTGTTGTTTATTACGAAGTCTATTTGAATTTAATATCATAATTATTAATAAAATTATCACTTCACGGGATTTATTNGGTGGGCGCAAGCGTTAGTTTTGTGATGTTGGCTAAATTTGCCATATATATCAATTTCCGGTGAGAAAATGCTAAAAATTATTAGGAGTTAAAATCTAATTCTTGGGTGTTTTCTAAGTTTTATATCAAAATGGATTGGCAATTAACTTGTAGAGTTTGCCTGGAAACGGGCGATATGGTTTCCCTGTTCGATTGGGATGAAAATAATCAACAACTCGGCGATAAGTACACCTACTGCTGCGGCATCAAGGTATGGAAAAATTACCACACCAAAATGGTTGCGATGGCCACCCTATAATTTTTTCCTAAGATAATGTTGCTATATTGTTTTATTTTGTAACTATTTGGTGATTTTTTGCTGTCATCCCTATTTGCAAAATTGGGAAAATCTTGTTGATTGACATCTCATGGTCATTTTGAATGTGTATTTTTAGGTGTGTAAAAACGATTCTCTGCCGACGCTGATATGTTTGAATTGCGTAGATAGGCTTACTTTCGCCTATCAGTTCAAGCAGCAATGTTTAACATCGAATACCACTTTGAAAGAGTGTCTTGGGGAGTTCATGAAGAGTAGTGCTGCTGTGAGCTCCACTTCAACATCCAAACGTAAGTTCCTTCATTGAAATACCTTTCTTTGGTCATTGGCTTATGCCTGTTTTCACCATTAATCCCTAATTTTTAAGTGACTCCTATGGTAACACAACAGGAATTTTGTTTTCATAGGGGTCACTTAAAAATTAGGAATTGATGGTGAAAACAGGCAGTACCTTAAATTTAATTGTGTTCTGTATCGAAATTTATAATACTATGAATTATTTACCATCCTTCTCACATAAACTCAAGCCTTACAAAGCATACACTTTGTCTTACAATCTTGTACGCTTATTTCAGCTACAGAAACCGAGACGATCACTATAAAGCAAGAGAATGGCTTACTCTTACAATACGAGCTGCCTGTTGAGCACGATCCTACGGCCACATGGACTAGGACTCTCAACAAGACGCCGAGTAGCTCCGTGGTCACGAAAGCTCCAAAACCGAAGAAGAGGGGCCGTCCGAGGAAATACCCTAATGAACAGGGACAGATCCGTACGTAATTTTTAACACCTTTTCAATAAATGATTTAGTAATAGCTATAATTTTCTACTAAAAATTATTTCAGAATAAAGCTAGTGTTTTAAATTAACTAATTTTAATTAAATTTTCCAGACATTGGATAAAACACTCCTTGACCGTCCTAAATTATAATATGACTTCAAATGCAAATTATCACCTTATCTCTATCAGTCACTATTCCTTAGTTATTGTAATAGGGTAAATCCGCGAAACAGTAAAAAACATATGTTCCGATCGATAAAAAAAAAACTGTTGTAGTTCTGGTAAATTAAACTTCTGAATAACGATTCATACAAGTTTCCACATAAGGCGCCATGATCCATATTGATTAAATACTTCAAGTTATTTCGATAATCAAGAAAACACGCACTAAACGTCATTACCATCACAGTAAAAATACTGACCTTTGCCGTTGTCTTTTAATTTTTTTTACTTTACCTATACACAGACCAGATTTTGATTATAAATTTAAAATGTACATATTTACCGTGACAAAATAACAAAATTATATTAAAATCGTATTAGCCAATAAAATGCAATCATGAATTGAAATATTGTCACGAGAAATCGTCATCGCCATCGCGGCAACATCAAAGGTTGTTTGATGTGGCCGCGACGCGACTTATCCCCGCTTGCGTCCGCGCGTCCCGTTCTTCAGTTCGTTGCGCACAACAGAACAGAGTGCACGTAATATTTACGCAGCTCCGAGACTTTTTAAACCCCGTAAACGAGAGACACTCGCAGTTTGTCATCGGCTCGCGTCATTCCCATTTTGTGCGATTCGGTAAGTTTTATAATATCGATATTTTTCTAATAATTAACACTTTGGAGCATGTGATTACAATAAAAAAATGGCGATATTGAGGTCTCCCAATAGTGGCGACAATTATTTTTATATAATTTTAAAATCGTTTTCGTCATTACCATTAACATCATTACCATCTCATTTGGGCTTATGGTGATGACACTTTGTATATGGTAATGACGACTATGAAAGGTTTCCTAAAATTTCTTATGGGCATGGAGCTGTCACTGTCAAGTGTTAAAATAGGGTGAGGGGGAGGTAAGAGGGTTGCGCGCGGGTGATTTTTTGACAGCTCCATGCGCCAAGTTCATTAAAATAATCGTGTTGTACCTCTTTGGAGGTAAGTGCGTAGGGATGATGATACTAGGGTAGAACCTAAGGGCACCTTCATTTAGCGCGCTTTACGCTATCGTCGGCACCGGCACCGGCACCGACGTCGGCGCGGTGCCGGCCGACGTCGGTGCCGGTGCCGGTGAACGGCGCCGACGTCGTGCCGTCGTGATGTGGACAAGCCCATACTTTTGCATTTAAAATATTAAGGTGCCAGTTACGATCTTTTATTTATTTTGTAAAGCGCGCTAAATGAAGGTGCCCTTAGGTTCTACCCTAGTATCATCATCCCTACGCACTTACCTCCAAAGAGGTACAACACGATTATTTTAATGAACTTGGCGCATGGAGCTGTCAAAAAATCACCCGCGCGCAACCCTCTTACCTCCCCCTCACCCTATTTTAACACTTGACAGTGACAGCTCCATGCCCATAAGAAATTTTAGGAAACCTTTCATAGTCGTCATTACCATATACAAAGTGTCATCACCATAAGCCCAAATGAGATGGTAATGATGTTAATGGTAATGACGAAAACGATTTTAAAATTATATAAAAATAATTGTCGCCACTATTGGGAGACCTCAATATCGCCATTTTTTTATTGTAATCACATGCTCCAAAGTGTTAATTATTAGAAAAATATCGATATTATAAAACTTACCGAATCGCACAAAATGGGAATGACGCGAGCCGATGACAAACTGCGAGTGTCTCTCGTTTACGGGGTTTAAAAAGTCTCGGAGCTGCGTAAATATTACGTGCACTCTGTTCTGTTGTGCGCAACGAACTGAAGAACGGGACGCGCGGACGCAAGCGGGGATAAGTCGCGTCGCGGCCACATCAAACAACCTTTGATGTTGCCGCGATGGCGATGACGATTTCTCGTGACAATATTTCAATTCATGATTGCATTTTATTGGCTAATACGATTTTAATATAATTTTGTTATTTTGTCACGGTAAATATGTACATTTTAAATTTATAATCAAAATCTGGTCTGTGTATAGGTAAAGTAAAAAAAATTAAAAGACAACGGCAAAGGTCAGTATTTTTACTGTGATGGTAATGACGTTTAGTGCGTGTTTTCTTGATTATCGAAATAACTTGAAGTATTTAATCAATATGGATCATGGCGCCTTATGTGGAAACTTGTATGAATCGTTATTCAGAAGTTTAATTTACCAGAACTACAACAGTTTTTTTTTTATCGATCGGAACATATGTTTTTTACTGTTTCGCGGATTTACCCTATTACAATAACTAAGGAATAGTGACTGATAGAGATAAGGTNCAAAATAACAAAATTATATTAAAATCGTATTAGCCAATAAAATGCAATCATGAATTGAAATATTGTCACGAGAAATCGTCATCGCCATCGCGGCAACATCAAAGGTTGTTTGATGTGGCCGCGACGCGACTTATCCCCGCTTGCGTCCGCGCGTCCCGTTCTTCAGTTTGTTGCGCACAACAGAACAGAGTGCACGTAATATTTACGCAGCTCCGAGACTTTTTAAACCCCGTAAACGAGAGACACTCGCAGTTTGTCATCGGCTCGCGTCATTCCCATTTTGTGCGATTCGGTAAGTTTTATAATATCGATATTTTTCTAATAATTAACACTTTGGAGCATGTGATTACAATAAAAAAATGGCGATATTGAGGTCTCCCAATAGTGGCGACAATTATTTTTATATAATTTTAAAATCGTTTTCGTCATTACCATTAACATCATTACCATCTCATTTGGGCTTATGGTGATGACACTTTGTATATGGTAATGACGACTATGAAAGGTTTCCTAAAATTTCTTATGGGCATGGAGCTGTCACTGTCAAGTGTTAAAATAGGGTGAGGGGGAGGTAAGAGGGTTGCGCGTGGGTGATTTTTTGACAGCTCCATGCGCCAAGTTCATTAAAATAATCGTGTTGTACCTCTTTGGAGGTAAGTGCGTAGGGATGATGATACTAGGGTAGAACCTAAGGGCACCTTCATTTAGCGCGCTTTACAAAATAAATAAAAGATCGTAACTGGCACCTTAATATTTTAAATGCAAAAGTATGGGCTTGTCCACATCACGACGGCACGACGTCGGCGCCGTTCACCGGCACCGGCACCGACGTCGGCCGGCACCGCGCCGACGTCGGTGCCGGTGCCGGTGCCGACGATAGCGTAAAGCGCGCTAAATGAAGGTGCCCTTAGGTTCTACCCTAGTATCATCATCCCTACGCACTTACCTCCAAAGAGGTACAACACGATTATTTTAATGAACTTGGCGCATGGAGCTGTCAAAAAATCACCCGCGCGCAACCCTCTTACCTCCCCCTCACCCTATTTTAACACTTGACAGTGANCATTCACCGTTCACCGGCACCGGCACGACATCGGCGCGGTGCCGGCCGACGTCGGTGCCGGTGCCGGTGAACGGCGCCGACGTCGTGCCGTCGTCATGTGGACAAGCACTATATCTGTTACATTCCACGCTTCAACCGTTGAACCGATTTGAATGAAATTTGATATGGAACTATAGAGGTGATTTCAGACCTGAGAAAGGACATAGGCTACTGTACTACGGGAAAATCGGATGAAACTGCAGGGGAAAAAGCTAGTTCGTTCATAAACGTAACCCACAACTATGTTTTATTTTCAATAAAAGCTTATTTAGCTANCCTTATTACCTATTTATTAAAATCCGTACATTCAATTCCCTTCTTAAATCCTGTACATCTCACACGTATAATTATATATACTTTTTATTATAAACAATAGTTATCGTATTGTTGAGTTCACAACTTACGTTAGCGTATTTGGTTGCAGATCATATTAAACAAGATGAAGCTGCAGTATTATATATTAAAAATAGAGACAAATCGTCATTATGTGGATCCCAAATATTTTTTGAGTATCATAGAAAATTTCTGTCCAGTTTTTGCGACTTATGATGGCGGAATCTGCCTTGCTTTATGCGAAGACTTTGATATGAAGTTATATAAATACTTTGATGTCAATAATTTAACTGAGTTTTTCGCATACATAACAAGTTATCTGATCGTGAGCAAATAATGGACTTATATGAAATCGTGAGAAGCCACGGTCAAGTAATAATAAACAATTCGAAGAAATGGAATGTGGTTCCATGAACAGAAAACTGCAAATTCTGCAATTTTTTTAATATTTTTATAATTAAAGTATTATTATCAAAGTTACTAAGTAAAGACCAAGATCAACGAAAATCTATTGTTGAGATATCCCAATCCCAACTAATATTATAAATGCGAAAGTAACTCTGTCTGTCTGTCTGTCTGTCTGTCTATCTGTCTGTCTGTCTGTCTGTCTGTCTGTCTGTTACGCTTTCCCGCTTAAACCTCGCAACCGATTTTGATGCAATTTGGCATAGAGATAGTTTGAGTCCCGGGAAAGAACATAGGATAGTTTTTATCCCGGTTTTTGAAACAGGGACGCGCGCGATAAAGTTTTTCTGTGACAGACAAAATTCCACGCGGGCGAAGCCGCGGGCGGAAAGCTAGTTGAATATAAATAATATATTATAATAAGGATAATTTTATGGAACAAGAGTTGATTTTAAGCAATGACTATGGTGTAAACTAACATAATATTAAGGAGACTAGTTATGAAGGTACCCACAAAGCAGTATGTGGTGTACCCAATAAGTTAGTTATATTTTAGTTTAAACTGAAATGACTGTCTAGTTACCAAATAGTAATTATTTATATAACCAATATTGTTATTTTTAGGGATTACTGCAGTCATGCCCAGGAAACAAAAACCCAAAATCAAACGGGCAGAAAAACAAAGTGTACAGAAAAATTAAATATGCAGATATTAAACAAGATCCAGTTTTATATGACTTAGAGAGAGAAAAGGAAAGAAAAAGATATCAGGAAAGGAAAAAAAAGAAACAAATCAAAAGTATCGACGAAGAATCTCCCCGTGATCAACGAGAAAGACGTAAAAAATGGCGAGAAGCTTCTCGAAAATATAGACAGACAAAAAAAGAAGACAAAATGCGCCCTATTCCTGTACCTGAATTGATTTTGGTAGACCAAGCAACAACAAGTAAAGAGCACCAGGCTGAAATTCATGTTACAAGTGACAGTCAACAACCAGTTAACAATCCATTGGGACCTTCGGAGTCAACAGTGAATATACGAAGAATAAAGCACATTGAAAGGAAAAAAGAATGCACCTGATGCGAATAATACAAAATCTTCAAAAAGAAAACAAAATGTTACGCAAAAAATTACAAAAACAGGACAAAGAAAAAAATCACCCAAAAAATGTTAACATGATATCTAAAAAAATTCTCATAAAAAAGCTCAAGAGAAAAAAAAAGAAGACTCAAAACTGATGAAATTGATAAAAAAAGTACGAGAATTTTATCAGGATGATCTGAATAGCACACTTGCTGCAGGGAAGAAACAATATGTTACGAAGTTAAAAGTACAAAAACAAAAACGGTACATGACATGCACTCAAAAAGCGTTACACAAAAAATTCATGGCCAAATATAACGTGACAGTCAGTTACAGTTTCTTTTGTAAGCATAAACCATTTTGGGTTTTGAAACCAAGAGACTCTCAACGCGAAACATGCTTATGCATGATTCATGAAAATTTTAATCTGAAGGTTCAAGCTCTCAAGACACATTCTATATTGGACGAAACAGGTTCTGAAGATTTGATAACTAGCCTATGTTGCTCAAAATATGACGAACAATGCTTAAAAAGGGAGTGTGAGTCATGTAAAAGTAAATCATTACAAGTGAAAGAGTTTTCCAATGATCAGGAAATTACTTATTATAAATGGACACGTACAAGAGAAAGTATAAAGACAAAGCAAGGTCAGAAAATTGTTACTACGACTAAAAAAGAATCGGTATTAGCTAAACCAACAGAAGTGATCAATGATTTACATGAAAGTATACCAAAATTCTTAGAGCATTGCTATGCTATTCATAACCAATATTGCAACATGAAACTCCTAAAAGATTCATTACCCGTTAACTGTGCAGTTATCCACGCAGACTTTTCCGAAAATTACGGTCTGAAATTTAAAAATGAAGTGCAATCAATGCACTATGGTGGAAATCGCAAGGAAGTATGCCTTCACACAGCCGTAATATACAATTTTGATTTCCATGTTAGTGCAACCAAACCAACATCAATTTGTACTGCGAGTTCTTGTCTGAGACACGATAGTCCAGCTATATGGGCACACATCATACCACTGATCGAAAGAGCTCTCATAGATAATCCTTTCATAGACACTTTACATTTTCAGACAGACTCTCCAGTCACACAGTACCGTAATAAATACATTTTTTACATGATTTCCCAACTTCACCACGAATTTCCACAAGTAACCACAATTACTTGGAATTACTCTGAGGCCGGACATGGCAAAGGAGCCCCGGACGGTGTAGGAGCTACAATAAAAAGGACTGTGGATTCCTGTGTTAATCACGGTGAAGATGTGGGTACATATGACAAGTTCTTGCGTTTGGTTAAAGAAAATGTAAAAAACGTCGTCATGTTTGATGTGCCTGAGGAAAATATAGCCAAGAGAGAAAGTGCAATGCCAAAGAATTTACCGACATTTAGAGGCACCTTCGATGTACACCAAGTGTTATGGAGAAAAGATGTTGTGAACCTAACATTTCGCAAATTGAGTTGTTTTGAATGTGACTGTGGAGTCATATGTACTCACGGAAAACATCTAGGTTTTCTAAAAATGTCACAATATCATGAAGCTTCCTCCGTTGATGACAACCAAGTGGTTCCCCTGAGTGTCACCAAAAGACAAAGTTCCTTACTGACTGATATCACCAATAGGTTTGAAGATTCTGACATCAATATGATTTCTATCACTGCTAATCCTTCAAAGATAAGAATCCTCTCCAACAAACGCTTAGTCGTTTCGAAGACTGAAAACAACAATATTTAAGTTTCAAATTGTAAAGTTCTCTAGATTATTAACTCTTGTTTATCGAAAGACTGTTTTCTTATTATAGAAATCAAAACTGTGATTTAAAGCCATAGCGTTTAATATTAAGATAAAAAAGTAAATTCGAGCTTATTGTCAAAATAATAAGTTGTTATTAGTTAAAAAAATATTTTTAAAATTTTCTTGTATGTTAATTTTTATCAATGGATGTCCATTTATTTTGACACACTGTACCTACATGTAAGTTTAGATATAGTAAAGTCCTTGTCCACATCACGACGGCACGACGTCGGCGCCGTTCACCAGCGTCGGCACCGTCGTCGTTCACGGTCACGTACCAGCTTGAACGGTGCCGACGTCGTGCCGTCGTGATGTGGACAATCCATTACTCTCTTGCTTATCGAATGACTTGTTTTCTATTTTAGTTATAAAAATCAAGACTGTGATTTAAAGCCATACCAATCAATATATTATAAAAAACAAATTTAAGATTTGTTTTCAAATGAGAAGATTTTTTATTACTTTACGAGAAGACGTTTTTTTTTTAAATTTATTGTATGTTGACTATTGTGTAAGTCTAAGTAAGAGCACCTAGGCATATTTTGCAATCAAAATCCTCATTGGTTTAAATATATTTTCTTCTGATTCTGAATAATAAATATTAGGAACGTAAAAAAATTTTCGTATTGTTCCAAATTCAATAAAAACATTAAAATATTGAATACATTTATTTTCATTTCCAACCCATTCTTTAATAGGTACGTGCTTAGCTAGGAAAATAACATAGAAAAAGTTGGTGTTTAGCTAAACAATTATATTTCGTCATCACCATTAACATAAGATCATTACCATTTTAATAAAATCATTACCATTAGGAAAACGTCATTACCATTTTGTGAAAAAATATTTGGACGCTTGTTACTTCTAAAATCACGATTGAATCTAAGGGCCTCACACTGATCTAAAAAGCTTATTGCTTAACCTTTCAGTTTAAGCTAGTTTGCACGCATCCCTGTTAAGTTTTTCAAAAAACGTAAAATAAATCCCGCGGAATAAAATCGGCGGATCTACCCAATAGCAATGCTATTTTAAATTCATTATAGATCTATCTATATCGATCAACATGGAAAGCATTAGGGGAGGCCTATGTTCAGCAGTGGACGTCCTATGGCTGACATGATGATGATGATGATGATAGATCTATCTATATCTAATAACTCAACGTCACACCCTCAAGTGTCCAATGACAGGAATTTTACCCTACTTTAGAACTAGAGGCTGAATATGCATTATCATAAATAATACCTTGCAGATCTATCACCCTACCAGAGGAAGAAACCGAGGGAGCCGGTGAAAGAGCCTGAATCGTTGACTACGATGATTGCAAGCGGCACATTGGCCATAGAGGCCATTAAAGAAGAGCCGTTGGAGGATGAGCAGCAACATTTGGGAGATGGTATGACAAATTTAAATCATTTATTTCAGAAATGAAGCCACGATAGCCGAACGGTGAAGGGGTCGGACTGGCCGACTCGTGATCCGGGGAATGCGGGTTCGGTTCCTGCCGGCGCTCGACTATTATTAGTGGTGAGCTCACTCGTGATACAAGCATATTTAGCTTAGAACGAGAGGCTAACGGGACTTTTAAAAAACAAAATCTGTTTCCAAAGTGCTCATAACACATAGTTATTAACTTGTAACATTTCTATTTCTTCGGACACTTTTTCTCAGTATCAGTGCTGAAGCAAAGCCTGACAAATAACTAAGTTACGAGTGTTCAATATTAGCAATAAAACAAAATGTTTTGTTATACAATTTAGAATCGCAATGTTGTTACAGATTTTGCTGACGATGATCCAGAATTTAACCCAGAGAGTGAAGAAAATGAATCTGAAGCAGAGGTTGTTGAGAAAGTGGTAAGTTATGTAGTTAAGATGTTAAAAAATATTATCTTCCTAGCGGCCGCCCGCGACTTCGTACGCGTGGACCCCGTTTTACACCTTTTGGGGTTGAATTTTTCAAAATCCTGTTTTAGTGAGCACTTACGTTCTAAAAAGAACCCCCATGCAAAATTTTAGACTCCTAGCACTTGTAGTTTCTGAGTTAGAAGAACATAACTGTCACCTAATGAGGATCATTTCGATTTTTAGCTGTGAATGCAGATTTATAGGGCTAAGAAATCCTTAATACACAGTGCAAAAATTTTTGTTCTACGACAAAAATTGACGAAGTTATGGCCAAATTACTAAAAAAGTTCACTGACCGCCCGGCGCGGGGACGATGACGTCATTATATCCGATCCGAACGCTGCCGACGTACTGCGTGGATAGAAAATATTTTTTTCTGGCCAAATTATCAGTTTTAGAGAAAAACTTGTAATGACATTTATTCATCAGAATAAAGTAAGCTATCGATAGGTAATTTTTAAAAATAGAAATTGTGAAAAATAACGCAAAAAATCCATACGCTCATACGATTCAATGGCACGCAGAGACGCGATTGGGGTCTCCGCGGTGGTATATTTGGCGATTTATTCAAATAAAGTGTACATAAGTGTTGTTAGAGTCATATCTTCTTCCAAGTAAAATATAAAAATGTATAAGTATTAATTTATTTACTTCTAACAATAAGGTATAACTTCTAACAATAAGACATTGCTATGAAAATCATTTCGATGTATCTAGAATATTAGCTCAATGTTGATTTAGTCGATTTTCTCCTGATGGGAACATGTAAGACAAAAATAAAATTTCCAATATTACAGACCTTCTAGAGCAGATGCCGCGAAAACTATACAAGATATAGAAAAACTTGACTATCTCACCTGTAGCAAATTAAATAAGCTTTTTTTGGTTCATAGTAGTCATGTCACTAGGACGCATAGTTTCCGAGGATTAAGCGAAAAACCGAAAAGTGGTACCTTTAAACCCCCCTCTCCCCGGCGGCTCAAGGGCTAAGGGCGGGGACTTTTGATATGTTCAGTGAACATTGTTCACCTCCTAACTAGTCTAAATAAAGTCCCGAAGTCAAAAATTGTGTTCCACGGATTTCCATCTATAATGCTTTATTGACTGGACTATCAGTGTTTTGTTGTCGTTGAAGTTTTGTTACATGAATAAGGCTACAGGACTGTTAACACAATTTTTAACAGACTTCTGTTAACGAAGCACGATCAAAAGGCTTTGGTCTCTGAATTCATTATTTCAATTTTTATCTCAACGATAACTGATTGATTTTACAGCAACCTGCCCCCAAGAAACGCGGTCGACCTCGCAAAGTCCAAATCCAAGACAAACCAGAAAAATCCAAGGAGGATGACGGTGAGGACGTGCTATTAAAAGAAACTATACTCGCGTTCTCAGAACCCATACCGGAGCACATACTCAACCCTCAGCCGAAGAAAAAGAAGTATGCCAAGAGGAAGAAATATGTCTATGAGAAGACGTAAGTTTTTGTTATACCTATTAGCCTAGGCGCAGACCATTGACTTTTAGTTGGCCGATAGTTGGGCCGGGCTGTAAATCAAGTGCGCATATCACACCGATATGGTATCGGCCGATTCTTCATATAAATTAGAATCGGGCCCAACTATCGCCCAACTAAAAATTGGTGGTCTGCGCCTAGGCTTACTATTGTAATTTCTGTAATTAAATTCTGTGTAGTACTTTTAAAGGAAAAGCAGTAGCATCATAAAAGCAAATTCTTCGTTAAGAGGATTTCTTTATTGTTACAGTAATTGATTTTAAAGCTCCGAAAATCACTCATTAAAAATAATTTAATTGTAAAATTCTTGGATGTTGTTTTTGTCTTTTGTCTCGGCCACTTATAAAACAATGTTCAGTTTATACAGGGTGTTCAAGAATGGCTAAAGCAATTTCTACAGAAGACATCTGGCCATAGACTATTTATGCATATTACAACTTTTATTACCTGACATACATTTTTATTCATAAGTGCCAATAGTGGTCTAAATTGAATAAAATATTTTCGATTTTGATTTCTAGGCACACTTGTGAGACATGTGGCTCTTCGTTCACATCCAACGCCTCGCTGCAGGCTCACATTCGCCGACATCTCGGCATCAAGCCTTTTGTGTGCAGGTAAGCTGTTACTGTGATCTGTTAGCATTAGATCAGTGGTTCTTAACCTTTAAGTCTAGAGGGACCATTTTACCAAATTTCTGTCTTGTCAGGGACCACCTCATAGCCGGTCAAAACCAGTTTGACTGCAAAAATCAGTTAAAAGTGGTTTTAACCAAGGTGTACAAGTGCACTTCGTGGACCACTTGGAATGTCTCCAGGGACCACCAGTGGTCCGCGGACCACCGGTTAAGAACCACTGCATTGGATAAAGGCTGGGTTGCACCATCTTACTTTAAAGCTTCAACCACACTAACAAAGCGATTATTGGCCAATGACAGGTCGCGCGGACTGTCATGGGTCGTGCGACCTGTCATTGGCCTATGATCGCACCGGCGATGGCGATCTGCACGCTTTGGTGTGGCTGAAGCATAGCTTAACAAACGTCAGAAATCTGTAAAACTTCATACAAAAACCACCGGCTATCGTTATAGTTACGGTCAAAGTTAGGTGGTGCAACTCACCCTTAAAGTTCTTTATATTCTATAAATAATAAAAATTAATTCTCAAAGTTTTTAACCCTTTTTAGTTGCAGGATTTAAGATTTACAATTAAGTTCTAAAATAGTGCTTTTCAAATCTCAGTATAATTTAACTTTTACTTTTTTACTATTAAATGATAATCAAGTTAAAGTCAGTGAATTTCAATATTTAAACCAACTAAAAACTTAAATTCCTTTCATAATTCGAGACATGGGTGCGGGTCGGGGCATGTTGATAAAATGTTAGTACATTTCATAAATGGTACACTGTCAATTGAATCTTATATTTAATGTATCAAGAGTGATATTAAATTGTTGAATCACCTGTCCCCATGTCGCAAATAATGATGGTTGCCACATATTTGTGTTGACATTTTGAGCTTTTTTTTCAATAACCATGTTCAAAACGCACCCGCACCCATGAATCGAAACAAAACAAAGTAGGTAAAAACCGTTCTTTTTAAATAATTTTGCATTTATTTAATGTAATATTTATTCGAAATAGTTATACGCAAGGGATACTACGTCCTAACAATAGTTCAAGAAGTAAAATCTTATAAAAACCTATCATGATACCGTGAGTTAATTCAGGATAACACCATCTATGAATGAACATTACAACTAATCTTCATAAAACCTACCATAATGCAAAGTGCATTACATTGTCTTTTTGTCTTAGAATAAACTAGCGTAGTATAACTTAGCGCGTTATTTTAACTGACTAGTCTTATTTATTTAAGCCTTTATGCCATATAATTGGTACATAAGGCTAACTTAACGCCATAAAGGCATTCTCTGCTTACCTTCAAATTTACCTTAAAATCTCTAATTTTCAACTGTAGTATACCTTATACCTAATAAATAAAATAAAATAATTAAAAAAAATAAGCTTACCTTCAAATTTACCTTAAAATCTCAAATTTTCAACTTAAATAAAAAAATCTACGGAGGGTAGTAAAACATTCCGCGTTCTTCCAGCGTGTGTGGGTACTCGTGCGTTCTGAACATGGAACTCCGGCGGCACATGATGCGACACACCGGTCAACGACCCTACAAGTGCCGCGTGTGCGAACGACGCTTCGGCGACTTCGGTTCCCGACAGAAGCACGAAAGGCGAGTGTTTTTGTGGCGAGACTATGTAGATGATGTTTTTTTACGAGCAGACAGCATCAGTTTTTAAAAAGCTCACGTAAAGCCGGGTCTCCAGTGCGTTTTGCCCTATACAATCAACAAAAACATGTCAACGTTTAACAAAATTGCCTGCAAAAAATGTTGAATGTTGACATGATTTTGTTGTGTAGGGCAAAACGCGCGCTGGAGATCCGGCTAACGCCATAATTTGATCAACTCGTGGAGCCCTAAGTGGTTGCACGAGAACGCGGTAACAAGAGTTCAATATGCGCCTGCTTGTATGAAAGCGTCATGGGCATAGATTCTTACACAAACCTTTCAGATGTTCCAAAAATCGCAGTGTCATATCACGTCGCGTTACTAACAGGTATTTGGTATGTGGCAACCATTATTAATCCACTCTAAACTGGTTTACTTACGGCAACCACCACTCTAACCCTAGGCTTGTTAACTTAAACGTAACGTTAACGTGTCGCCAGCGTGTGTGGTTACGCGTGCGTCATGAATGAGGCGTTGAAGCGACACATGTTACGTCACACGGGCGAGCGGCCTTACAAGTGCCGCGTGTGTGAACGCCGCTTCGGGGACTATGGCACGAGGCAGAAGCATGAGAGGTAAGAAAGAGGTAGTATGAGGCAGAAGCTAGATAAGATAAGATGAGATAAGATAAATTTATTGAATAAAAACTTAGCCTAAATACAAGAAACTTAAATGGGACTATGAAATTATTTGGTTAGTAACAATATGTTAATAGAGGTAGCTTGAGGCAGAAGCTAGAGGTAACATGAGGCAGATGCACTAGACTTAGGAGAATAAGAGGTAGGTAACACAGTGTGTGAACGCTGCTTCGGAGACTATGGCACGAGGCAGAAGCATGAGAGGTAAGAGAATGAGGTAACAAGAGGCAGAAGCTAGAGGTATCATGAGGCAGAATCACTAGACTTAAAGAGTAAGAGAAGTAACACGAGGCGACACAGGAAAACATAGAGAAAGAGGTAACACGAGGCAGAAGTAAGAGAGGTAAGAAAACAGGATATGGATAAGTCTTTTCTCAAACAAAACTAATACCAGCCACTGGCTGTGATTTTACTATCTTCTTATTACATTTTTGCTTTTAATTGGATAATAGACACCATTAACTAATAGTTTGTCCTAACCAACAAACACGTGATTCAAATAAAGAAGAATCAGATGTATTTCAACAAAATTCTATTACACTTCTACCTTACTTTCTAAGTAAGGTGATATCACTCAGGTGAATAAAGTAGAATAATCCCTTTAAACAATACTGAATTTTTTTTTTACTACTATTCTTCTCACCAACCTTTACTTTTTTAGTATTAAAACCAATTATATTGGACCACAGGTTACACATGGGTCTTCGGCCATACCAGTGTTCGGTGTGCGGCAAGTCGTTCACGTATTCGTACGTGCTCGCCAACCATATGCTCACTCACACTGGGGAGAAGAAATACTCGTGAGTATATTGTTTTTAATTACATAACACTTCTATTTATACACAATGGCATATAATGGTAATCGCTGGTTTTTTTTTATATTCGGTTTAAAGATTAAATTATACAAGTGACTTTATGTAGGTGCTTAAAACTTTGAAGAGCTCGTAAAAGGTACAGCTGATACAGAAAGCACGTCAATTCCGACTACGTAAGACGTTAGCGTATACTATTATTCAAATCTTTGCTTGTCTTGATGGCTTCAACTCTCGTTGCACTACTTATAAAAACGCGAGTCTCCCATAATTTAAGACCATAATAATGTTTTTTTTTCAAATGTGTTTTCTTAAACAAATAATGTTAAATAAGTTGCTGAATATCAAAATCCCGTAGGTCCATGCTAAGTGAATCACGGGAATCGCGACAGTTTTATTATCATCATTATCATAAAAGTGTGAATATGAGGAAGAAATGTGACAGCCTAGGCGCAGCGCAAGAATCGGCCGATACCAAATCGTTGTAATGTGCGCACTTTCATACATGCCCATACTGATTAACAGCCCGATCCAATTAACTATCGGCCAACTAAAATTCGGTGGCCTATGCTTACAGGGATTTCATCGACTCAAATGGTGTAATTTCAATATCTCTCCCCAGTTGCGGCCCATGCAACAAGAAGTTCACCAAAGCCCACCATCTCAAATACCATAACAAGGTGCATCATAAGGAGCTTTACATCCAGCAGCAGTTGGAAATGCAAGCCAAGAAGATGCGTCAACAGATGAACGCCACCGGACTGTCCGGAGTGCTGTCCGGACAGATTGTGGACGGGACCTTGCAGCTGGCACATCACGCGCCGTCCGAAGGTAAATAGGTTCATAGGATCTTCATTCAAACTGTCCGGAGTATTGTCCGGATCCGGACAGATTATGGACGGAACCTCACAGTCGGCCTATCACGTCGTTCGAAGGTAAATAGGCAACGAGATCTATTTCTTTTTTTTACTAACACTGTCCGGAACTCTGTCCGGATCCAGACGCCTGAAGTACCACAACAAGGTGCATCAACAAGGCACAGTACCGATCACTGACGTATGTAAACGAAACTATGCTCAACTCTGAGACAAACTAAATTACACCATATTGTTGACGAAATTGAGTTGACATTTTTAGGGTTCCGTAGCCAAAATGGCAAAAACGGAACCCTTATAGTTTCGTCATGTCCGTCTGTCCGTCTGTCCGTCTGTCCGTCTGTCCGTCTGTCCGTCTGTCACAGCCGATTTACTCGGAAACTATAAGTACTACAGTGATGAAATTTGATGGGAATATGTGTTGTATGAACCGCTACAAAATTATGACACTAAATAGTAAAAAAAAGAATTGGGGGTGGGNAAGTAATATTTAATCCAAAAAACATCCTTTGCTGACATAGGTCTCACCCAATGATTCGTAAGAACGTATTCACAAACATGACTATGAGGTCTCGCAGTGCGCGTGGACGCACAGGGTGACACATGAACCAATCACAGAGGCTCTATTCAACGCTGTGCGTTCGATCTGCTGTTTCACTTAAGCAAGTATCGTTTGTGAATACGGGCGTTAGATTCGCCGGTTGATAGCGGCCTGCATCCAGCGCCTTCCATGATGTGAATTTAGAAAATTTTGTTTTGAATTAATTGGTAAATGGGTAATAATCTCAATATCTCCCCCCAGTTGCGGCCCATGCAACAAGAAGTTCACCAAAGCCCACCATCTCAAATACCACAACAAGGTGCATCATAAGGAGCTTTACATCCAGCAGCAGTTGGAAATGCAAGCCAAGAAGATGCGTCAACAGATGAACGCCACCGGACTGTCCGGAGTGCTGTCCGGACAGATTGTGGACGGGACCTTGCAGCTGGCACATCACGCGCCTTCCGAAGGTAAATAGGTTGCGAGATCTTGTTTCTTTTAGCAGAGTCCGGAAACTGTCCGGATCCGGACATCTCAAGTACCACAACAAAGTGCACCACAAGGAGCTATACATACAACAGCAGCTGGAGATGCAAGCCAAGAAGATGCGTCAGCAGATGAACGCCACTGGACTGTCCGGAGTGCTGTCCGGACAGATTGTGGACGGGACCTTGCAGCTGGCACATCACGCGCCTCCCGAAGGTAAATAGGTTGCGAGATTTGTTTCTTTTTAGCATTAAAAGAGTCCGGAAACTGTCCGGATCCGGACACCTGAAGTACCACAACAAGGTGCATCACAAGGAGCTACACATACAACAGCAGCTGGAGATGCAAGCCAAGAAGATGCGTCAGCAGATGAACGCCACCGGACTGTCCGGAGTGCTGTCCGGACAGATTGTGGACGGGACTTTGCAGCTGGCACATCACGCGCCGTCCGAAGGTAAATAGGTTCATAGGATCCAATAGGATCTTCATTCAAACTGTCCGGAGTATTGTCCGGTCCGGACAGATTATGGACGGAACCTCACAGTCGGCCTATCACGTCGTTCGAGGGTAAATAGGCAACGAGATCTATTTCTTTTTTTTACTAACACTGTCCGGAACTCTGTCCGGATCCAGACGCCTGAAGTACCACAACAAGGTGCATCAACATGGCACAGTACCGATCACTGACGTATGTAAACGAAACTATGCTCAACTCTGAGACAAACTAAATTACACCATATTGTTGACGAAATTGAGTTGACATTTTTTTAAATACCTTCGCAAACCATTTTGCGAAAACCTTTTTCCCTGTCACTGGCTATGTGCATCCAATTTTTCCCTGCCTTGTTTGTTATGTTTTCTTCGGCAACCCCATCTTTTCTTCGGCGGTCCTACGTTTCTTTTGCCTTTTGGGCCTTATCATTTTGTTGTTTGATAGGTCCATCTTGCTAAGGTCCTGCCCAGTTCCACTTATGTTTTAGGCTAAATTGAAGAGGGTCTGATAATTTAGTTTTCGTACGGATGTTTTTGTTTCTTGTTTTTTAAACGACTTCAATAAAAACCGGCCAAGTGCGTGTCGGACTCACGCACAAAGGGTTCCGTACCATTGATTTATGAAATTATTTTTTTTTGTATGAAAGATTACGCGGTTTTCGATTTACGAGGTATTAAAAAAAAACTACTTACTAGACTTCGTTCAAAACAATTTTCGTTGGTAGTTTTTATAGTAATGAACATCATAATAATATTATGTTTATTTTTTATTTTCTTATTTTAGAAGACACAGACACAGTTCACAGAATACATCTACCTACCAAGTTTCAACAGTATAGCTATTATAGTTTCGGAAAAAAATGGCTGTGACATACGGACGGACAGACAGACAGACATGACGAATCTATAAGGGTTCCGTTTTTTGCCATTTGGCTACGGAGCCCTAAAAAGGAGGAGGTTTTCAATTCTCAGTTTTATAAAGGTGGTTTTGGTTTAATTGTGTAAATCCACGGCAGATGGCGAGCAAGATGCCCAGATGCAAGTGGTGGAGCACCTGGAAGACGCCGACAAGGAGACCGACCGCGCCGTGGCCGACATGCAAGCGGTAATAACATGCTAACATTATTATCATAACACTCTATTTTCATTTTATACACATAATACATCAAAGAAAGAAAGAAAAATTATATATGGCAACAAAAGACATACACATTACTCATACTATAAGGCCCAGAACACACGGTGAAACGCATTGCAACGAAACTGCAACTTCTAGTTACTTTTGAGTTGCATCTAAGTTTCTGCCATAGATTCCGTTGAGAGACCACACATGACGCGACCATTTCAAACCGGTTTCAAACTGGTGTGTTCTGGGCCTAACAATAAAGTTAATAGAGCAACTTCTTCTTTTCGTGTCGACTACAAACCTACACAGTGTCAGCCCAAAACACCGCCACAAGAGTGGCGTTGTCAGCAGCACTCATCAAATTCTGAGTGCAGTTGCTTGGGTACTCAGGGCACGACATCAGCAATAGAGCAACTACCACGATCGAACGAAATCGATTTTGAAATAGTCGATGATGAAAATATTCCTAAGATTCTTTTGGTTTCACTGTTTTGTACATTAATCAATCTCTGAACCAGGCACCAAGTTTCTGAAGCACACGATTTCACTGAAAAAATGAGTGAAAAAATCTCAAGAGTTTCAATTTTCAGTGTACCAATGAGTGCTAAGTTGCTAACGAACTGTCAAATTGTTGCAAAAAACGGTTCTGTTATGTTATGTTACGACGCACCACGCATCTCTTTTTATCACACTGTTGAAGCTAGTGACATCTCTCTCGCTCATTCCTTTCTTGCTCTATTTCGCTAGGTATATTAACTTTATAGTTCAGAGTAATTAAAACTTGTCGTTTTTACAGGGGGTGTTGAACGCAGAGTTTTGTATAGAAGACGACGATAGCAAATGTTAAATCCATAAATGGATATTATAATAATTATGAACTAATAACGTTGGTATAATCAAACATGTCACTGTATAGTCACTCATGTTCGTAGTTAGGGTTCAGTATAAAAATAGGGAGTCTGATTGGGAATTATGTAATTGTAAACCAAATTCATAATAATTATACATAATCGATGTTCTATGTTAACTGAAAACATTTTAAAATAATGTACGCTTTTAATCAACTATCTTTCTTTGTTATCTATACCTGTAATTTTAAACTTTTATAGTTATTTAACTAGAAAATAAATAAAAAATGTATTAAACCCCAATCAGTCGCCCTTCACATTGTAAGAAGGAATTTGGAAAACAGTATATTTACATTAGAAAATGTAATTCACTTTCATAGTATTAGGAAACCAAACATGACTGTTCCTTATATTGTAATTATTTTGTATTTAAGATATTAAATAAAATCATGTAATGAACACGCGTGTTTTAATCATTTTACCTGCCACTATAACACACACACTTGCACTTCTTACATTGCATACTAATCTCATACAACTGATAGATACTAAAGAGCGAATATTAATCAAATTAAATTCTCCTAAGATATACCTTTCTTATAATAACACGCATTACGAAAGATAGTTAAACGGTAGTAACATTCTTATTAAGGTAGTAACTATGAGAATTAACAAGAAAAATAACAATATTGAGGCATCATTCATGACTTCTATTTAAACACTAGCTGACCCGGCGAACTTTGTTCCGCCTTAATGGCAATAAATAAGCAGATTTTTTTTTTATTTCGAACGGGATTAAAAGTATCCTATGTCCTTCTCCTGGCTCTAAACTACCTCCCTGACAATTTTCAGCTAAATCGGTTCAGCCGTTCTTGAGTTATAAGTGGAGTAACTAACACGACTTTCTTTTATATATGTTACGGCTAAAGATAGTTGTGAACATAAACTTAAGATTAGCCGGCTAAACTTAAGTTTATCTTCGTGAAGCAGCTAATGTTCGATAACATGTTAGTTTGCATCGTGGTATTCCATCTTTAGCCGGCTAATGTGCACATTAGCCAAAACGAAACGGCTAAAACTATATTCGATGGGCGCGCCAGGCCGGCGGAGGGCTTGAGGGGACGGTGGGGAGACAACGCGTGCGCAGTTTTATTTTGTTATATTTTGTAATTTTAAATACCTTCAGAAGATTATGTAATGACCAAATGGTTTATCTTATTATTTTATTTAAATGATTAGGTAGATATTGTTGTAAGTAATTAATATTTTGTTATTGTAATAATTGTAATTTTGAATACCTACATAGGTACATAAAAGTATGTGTAATGAAATTACGGGACTATTCCCACCTCTCGTTCCCACCACTGCAACTCCTGTGTAGCCAGGATCTACAGCTTATTTTTTAATAAAGTTTTCGTGTCAAAATAGTAAACATTATTACATTGTTTCCTTTTCCATTTCCTTCTACATTTTTAGCCAAGGGCCTGCGGTTACACTTAAGTTTAGCCGGCTAAAGATAGAAGAAACTAACATTAACACCTCGTCGAAGATAAACTTAAGTTTAGCCGGCTAATCTTAAGTTTATGTCCACACCTATCTTTAGCCGTAACATATATATAGATTTCAATGGTGTATGATGGTCATAATAACTGATAGTCATATTACCCTCTATTATTCACGAAAATTATTGAAAAAAATCAGGTCCACGTATGGTTGCGTTATAAAAACTCGAAATACCTACTTATTTTACACTTAAGGAGAAAGGATAAAAATAATAATATTATCCACGGTCACAGAATAAGTAATAGTACAGGTACAGAAGGATTACTCCGCACGACGATTTAAGTAAATGCGAGTCTTGCTGCGACGCGATACAGTGGAATTCAGCTCGCACAGCACTACGTACCTACAATTTTATTCACCTACAAGTTTTGTCTCATTCTATCGCGTGCCTCTGAACTCTTCTTACGCTGTTAGGGTTGCTGTCTAGTGAAAAAATAATTAGTCTACTTACTTATTTGTAATGAGGTACGTATGTAGGTAAGTAAAAATAACATTTCAAATATACCTAATTAGGATTAAAAAAACTTGTTCTATTACAATGTTTTCATTCATACCTATTTTAACATAAGACAGATAAATTAAACATACTATTACAGAAAAAAAAAAGAATCCTATACTATCCTATGAATTTTATTATTGATTACCTACATGNCTAAGTTTTATGATTATACAAGACTTAGAAGTGCGTGTAATTCAGATTCTAAGATTCCATTACATAGTTAGTTACATACACGACGACCTAATAAAAGCGTGTTAAAAACGAAAAAATGGACAGTTACAGTAGAATCTCGATTATCCGGACTTCGATTATCCGGATATCCGATTATCCGGACTAATTCTTCACGGTTTCTAATTACCGATTTAGGTTCTGGACCCATAAAAACCGAAGGTCCGCCACCGTAACACGGTACGGACGTCGCGTCGTCTTAGTTCATTGTTAAAAGAAATGGATTCATCCAATAGTGTAAAATTTAGATTTATAGACTCTAAAATGATGTTTTGGAAACCCTTTCTATTGACGAATGTTCATAATTGTTTGATTTTACTTTGAAATCGATTATCCGGATTTTCGATTATCCGGAACACCCCTGGTTTTAATTGATCCGGATAATCGGGATTCTACTGTACAATATTTAATTACGTGTTAAAAGAAATTTCTGTCATCTTACATATCATTAAAACGCCATTTCACGACGAAAAAAATAAAATATAATAAACGTGCAGTTGCCGAGAATATTGCCGAGAAAGATCCCGAGAATATTCTCGGGAACACTGGGAATATAGCCTTTCACTGCAAATAGAGTGTATTGTTTAATATACACTTATCTGTCGACATCATTTAATGCTATTTTACTTATGAAAGTTTGTTTATTTCCATTTGAAAAACATGATTCTCAATCTTTCTCACTTAGGAGAACGCTCCCGGGAGCGCTCCCGAGAATATTCTCAGTAGGGAGAGCGTTCTCGGGAACGGCACATCATCCTGACGGGCGAGCGCGTGACACTCGACTGATATAATACCCGCCGGCGGGGCGCTTCGCTGTAGGTAATTATCGGATGTACCGCGCGGAGTGAGCCAGGCCTGCCACGGTGTAATAAGCAAAATATAATCGAGAATTGTATGAATTGCTTAAAAAACAAACTGAAAATACTCCCCGAGACACCATCACTTTTCTAAGCGGCACACACTGTATTTACAATAAAAAATGCATCAACTTTTTTCTGTTTCGATTAACTGCAAAACTGTATCTTATGTGTAACGAAATAACGATGTAAGTTTTATCCGATGTAGCGACCATCTGAGGGATATTAAAAGTTGCCACCCTTCTAAGTAGGCGATCTTTTTTCCTTTTTGTTTTAATGCAAAAAGAAAACGCGAAAGTTTTGGAACGCGGAGTTTAAATTTTTCCACCCTTAATGCGCTTATTACGAGTGAGAAAAAATGCTGGATCTCAAACTTTTTCGTCGGATTTTGGAGGTGGACCACTTTTACAGAATTTTAAAAGAAAAGGTGGTTCTAAATCTAGATGGTTTATTTTACTTAAAAAAATATCTTTCCCTATGGTTTTTCAGAGATAAATCAATAGTTCTGATGATCGAATAATTTTGCAAGACGTCATGGATTTTCTGTGAAAGTCAAATGGGAATAATAAATTAAAAATGTGAGAAGTTTAAAAAGGTTTGGGACAGTCCATCTAAAAAAAAGGTTTAAAGGTTGGCGTACAAGTTTAAAGGTTTCAGCATTTACTTACCATCGCGGCATCGGAATAATCAAAGATACCCGTAAAATTCATAAGTTATTTATTTTCTGCAAATAGTTTTTAAAAAGCGCTGGTTACACGTCCCAAGTATTACTTTAACCGCTACTTTTATTACCACTGCTTCGGAACAATAAACGGGCCAGTGCTGAGAAGCACATGAAACTCGGTCACTTGATGGCGAGATTCTTTACCTAATAAAACATGGAGCAACTTATCATCCGGCCGCTAGGAAAAACGTTCCTGTAGCTTTATATACTAATAAAATTGTGATAAATAAACATACATAGATAAATCTTTTCGAAGATCATACAATGAAAATGAATAGAGAAGTTTTATACTCCAAAATTGCGAATTACATACCCATGTTTGACTTCCACTGACCTCAGTATAAAAGCATCATCCTCCGCGAACTTCTCACCCCTCCGAGGAGGTTTCCCCCTTTTTCGGGAGGGGAGGGGGTCTTCATTTACATTTTTATTTTATTTACATCTATCGCTGCGCATTCGGAAAATTCCTTTTTAAAATGCTCTCGGGGCGAGCATGTAAAGTTATTTTAAATACTTCCTCTTTTAGCGATTTCGCCGCTTCGGGATTGGGGGACGAAACGTTTTTATTGTTGCATGTAAATTGTAATAAGTATTAATGCTTGTATTATTTTTAAAGATCTGCAGCTTTAAAATAGAAACATTTAAGATTTTTTTGTTTAGATTAAATAGGTAATTTATAAAGTAATTTTTAATTGCTCTTTAATGTAGTGTCCTCCACCGCCCCAATACAAAAGTCGTAAAAATACCTAATAAATAAAGTTTTAGCCAATGTAGTTGACACAAACTTGTTACTTGTAAACTTTCACAAAACGTCTTCCAAAGGCAAGCTTCACGACACGCTCAAAATCATAAAAATAATAAATTTAAATTAAAAATGTCCTCTTGCCCCAATAACTGTCAATAATGTAACGTAGGTAGTTTAATTTATCACTACGCCGATCAAAAATATTTTTCACCTACACCATTTACAACTCTTCAGTTTTCAGAGGTTTTCCACTACCTATTCATAGTTCACTCACGTCCCTATAGATGGCGCTGGTTGTCTTAAAAGCTCTCACTCCGAGCTGATAATGCTTGCCGTCTGTTTTACAATTACTTAGATTCCATTTAAATGGCGAAAGGAGTAATCCGACTGAATTTTTATGGCTTGTTAACTGTGGCCTCTCGAGCTGTTATAACACCCATTAGGCGGTTAAGTAATTAATTTCAGTACAAGCTTTATTTCGGTTCGTCGCTGTTGTTGTTGATGTTGTCTTATTTTGACTATTGTTGGTTTGAATCAAAACAGAGAAGTCCTAGATAGGTAGTTTACCCCTGTAGTGTTCTAAAACTTTCAGCTTTGAATGGAACGTAGGTAGATACAAATTTAGCACACTAGCAAAGAAAATATGAATGTGTTAAGCATTGTTAAGTCTCAGTTACATAACTATATAATTCGATGCCACAGTCCTCTTCCCGAAGTTGTCTGGAAGATATTGTGTCCTAGCCATAAGACCGCACCACCAATTTTTGACAATTTTCGATCTACAATCTACAATAATCAATCTTAGCCTCTGACTAACCACAGACATTTTAAAAACGAGCATACAACCAATTACAGATCAATGTTAATTACATCCATTCAAATAATAAAGTGGAATCAGAAAGTTTATTTGAACTAAATGCCCCTGTTTACGTCACTCGGGTTCAATAAATCTCGCGTCACCCGCTCCAAGTGACAAAAGACCCCCTAATTAAATTCTGATGGCTCCACATCTGGTCTCTCAGGCCGTCTGTCTGTTTGTACTTGCACGCAAGCCCGACAATGACAGCGGTAAAAAACTTAACCCATTGATATAAACATATGTAAAACATTTAACATAAATTAACAAATTTTAAAATATAAATTATTACCTAGAATAGAAAAATTATGGCGTTTGCTTACTTTGGTACTCTCTTATCTACCTACTTCTATTGTATTTTTTTTTATTTGGCTTATCCAATCATGGGACAACTTTCAACTTTGTCCCAATAATCCCGTGGTGTACGACTAAAATACATTTTTTAAATTAATTGGTTACATAACATGCCTCAGCACTTAGCAGTCCCGTTATAATGGATTATTCCCGTTCGTCCCACCAAGCTTTGTCCCCCCACTGGGACGAACGGCATTTAATAAAATATTTAATTTTCGTCGCACTATTCACCTAAACCCTGTCCAGTCGGGTAAGTAATCGGGTTAGGCTGCGTGCCGTGATAAAATCTTATCGATGACTTGACGACAAACGTACATGCCTAGTCAGTGCGTGTCCATCCCAGTTTGTTTTACAGTTTTAACCACAAATTTACGTAGAATCTGAACTTCGGAAAAGCTTGCGAACGTCGGAAAAGCTCCGAAAGTCGAAAAAGCTTTTGGAAATTCACCATTTGTTAAATATGTATTTCACTTATTTTTATTGAACGTACTTAAGTAGAGATTTTAATAATGGTTAAAGTAGGCAATGGTATAGTTAGGAACAACGTATAGTGTGCTTTATAAATAAATAAATAAGTGCAGTTTCTGACAGGCTTAAAATTATGCATTTGTTCGCCCGCGGGCAGGGTCGGTAATTGAGTGGGCAAACACACAATGATTGTCAAGTTTGTAAACATGGGAAAAGTGCTTTCATTCCGGACATCAACTAACTAATAGGGCAACGTGTGCTTTGTAGGGAGTGTTTTAGTAAAAAAAACAACAATTACTTATTTTCTAAGATTACGAATAAGCAGTACTTACCCAGCTTCAGAATTTTTTCTTCCACAGTTTGCTCCTCTTATAACATTTAGGTACCTATTAGCTTTTCTGTTTGGTCTTGATTTTACTTTCTTCGATTGAAAAACATTGCAGTGGACGTGTATCTTCCCTTAGAAGTTGTCCATTGAGCGAAATAGGACAATATTTAACTGGAAAATCGGCCTTTCTGCTCAAAAATCCCAACAATTATGAAATTATATATTATAAAATTATACAAATCCAAATGCGAGCAGATTGCCGCGAAATTATTCACAAAACACCCTCGGCACGGACTTGATGATATTGTATTAGGTGATCACATACGAATGCGATTTTAATGGATACTCCGAGCGCTCCCCTCGCTAAATACCCACGCGACCCAATGTCCCTGTAAAAAGACCCAATTTTACCGCCATTTTGTGCGACACTTACGTCATTTTGCGCGCGAAGCTACCTTTACCCCAATCTAAATTAAAATCTAAAACCTTGTAAACAAGGCAAGTGCTCACTTTTTCGGGGATTTTAACCCTCGGAATTAACGAGAGTTATAAAGGGGGTCCACGGTGCAGTGGTTTGTCCCGTGTGCGATGCTAGGGGCATTAATGTTACAGTGCCTTTGTTGGCTTATCTTGAGGTTGCAACACTGGAACAGCAATGATTGATTGGCCTAATTGGTCTAAAAAATAAAAATAAAACATTATTATCAACCACATTTCTTATTTTCAAACAATAATAAAGAATATAACAACAATAAAAATACAAAACGATAAAAACAACAAATTAAAATAAGTCAATAAATACACAGCAATTTCAACGAAGGTACCAGAGCACTATGACGTGATAGGAGGTTATTTCTGCATCGGCGGGTTCATTTGGGACGCGACCACTTCGGGCGGAGAGGAAGGCGGCGATTTGATGACTATGGAGCCGACGGGCGAGGCCCTGGGGAGCTGAGGTTCCTTTCGGTGCCTTAGGGACGTGAGCGAGTGTTGCCTTTGAGGCTTCTCGGTCACCTTATGCTCGGTGGACCGACCCCGCTGGAGCTCGGCCAGATTGCTGGCCAATTCCGCCGCCGCCTCCCCATACAGTCTCTGACCCCGACGAACCTAATGTAAAAAGGTCTTGAATCTCTATTTCTATGAAAGTTTTGGACGATGCTGTGAAGGGAAACACAACAAAGCAGGTCACGAGATGTGAAGTCTAGGTGTTTCTAAAAGGAAAAGGGCTGCCTAGATAGTCTAGATAGTAAGAAAGGACATAATAATAGGTATAGCAGACTTGTTACTTTTGACAATAGCAATAATTAAGCGACTTGTCGACTACCAATTCTGTATCTAGCGATTCTCCGGTCATAGCTTCTTATGAAAAGCTACTGTATCGTCAATTTCTTATATCCAAAGTAGCAAGTCTGCTATGACTAATGAGCATATTAAACTTGAAGACTGGTAAAGGGCAATCTTCATGCGCCAATTTCCTTATTTATCAATTTTTGGGGACTGGGTAAGAGTAGGTAATCTCTATCTCTATACGCATTAGAAAGAAAATAAGCTATATTTTGACTAGCCATCTTCAAAACAACTACAATACAAATCACAGATGTATATCAGGTCACATTAACAAGACAGCCGCAGTGTACCTCGTCTCTCAACTCCGCGCGGCGACGCGAAACCCACTCAATTTGCTCCTGTAGTTTCTTGCACTCCTTCTCGTTGCCCAGTAGGTCCTTGTGAAGAGACTCCATGATGTCCCGGTACTGGGTCCGCACGTCGTGGTCTATGGCGTGGAGGTTGTCGATCTCGTGCTGGGTCTCGCGGATTTTGGACTTGGAGAGGCGGAGACGGCCTTCCTGAAAGGGAGAGTGGAAACTGTTTACTGATGAAGTTTAAACTTTCCCCCGGGATAAAACTTGACCTTAATTCACACTGGTTGGGTTTTTATTGGCGGTCAAGCTGTAGTTCCTGGCTACACAGGAAACGAGTTCAAGTTTGGTTACACTTAGTTTCAATATCATCCAACAAGACTCTTGAAAAAGTTACTCAAATACCTTCTCAGCCAGTTTCCTAGTGAGCACGTCCAGGTGTTCGTCCAGGCTGTCCTTCTGCTCCACCTCGTAGCTCTGCACGACGTTGTTGTGAGGACACAGCCGGTGCACCAGCTGGACCGGCGTGCACGGCGGGCACTCCACCTCCTGGGGAAGAAGGAACCGATTTAACAGTACCTATCGAGGTTTCAACCTATCTACAGAGGCCTAACTCATCTTTATCATCAAAAAACGGTAAAATTCTTCTAACATTTAAGTTTAAAAACATTCATTTCTTGGGAAAACAAAGTTATCATGAGATTTTAAAATATTTCTACTTCTAAGGCCGGCAATACACGGACCGCTTGAAGCAGTCAGGGTCGACAGCTTCAAGCTGCGACTGCACAGTGAACTGCAGAGTTCTATGGACGCAACTGATTCGGGCGGTCGACAGCACGGTGAATTTTCATCGTGCGGTCAAGCAGTCGCCAGCCATACACTGACTGCTCGAGCTGTCGTCAGTGCTTCCTCTTCAAAATCCATGGTGCTACTGATTTGAAATTGCCCACCGCTCGAACTGTTGAACCAACTGCTCGGGCAGTTATCACTGGCAGCTTCAAGCTGTTGACTCTTGACTACAAGAGTGGTCCGTGTAGGTATGTATATTGATCACTGACTAACTGCTCGAGCTGTTCGTGTATGGCGGGCCTAACACACCTTCTATGGTAGAAGACGCAAATGTTTTAAAATCCACGCTCTATTAATCTACTTTCTTAAAAATAAATACTTTTAGCATTGCCGCACATTAGGTGACAGGTGGCACCACAGATAAGTTAGGAATTTTGAAGTCAAAAGTTGCAGCTCATAGCACATCGGCTGCTTTTTTGGTGTTAGTTTTTTTCTCTACCACTACTGTCACCAGCTTTAGGTTTCCACTAAGCCAAGTAGCTTGGCATTTCTGTCTCGTGGTTGCGTAAGGCTTGACATGACCGTATTCAGTGGCAGTTACATGTGACCTCGTGTGTGGCAGCTGTTATCCCGTCGTATACATTATGCAATCGGTTTTCTTTTCGTGGATACATGTCGCTTCTCTCTCCGTGGTCGTCTAATCTTGCCGCCGTCCTGCCCCGCAGTCATGCGGATGCGGCCTTCTCTGCAAAAGTCATACGACGAGGTAACCCGCATCCGCATACCAGAACAAAAGGTCTTAAGGACTCCAGAATCGCTAGTACCCGCACTTCGAACTGTAGAAGGGCTTTATAGGCCTGCCTTACAGGACAGCTTGAGCAGTAAGCCATAAACATACATGGACCGCTCTTGCTCATAGTCAATTGAGAAATTTCACCTTAATTGCTCGAAGCAGTCACATCTGCTCGAGCGGTTTCGCGTATATGTGTAGTTTGCTATTCAGTCGCAGCTTGGAACTGTCGATACTGCTTCAAGCTGATCATGTAAGGCGGGCCATAGTTCCGTTTTGTGTCACTTAGGTGCTCTTGAGATATTTACAGGTGCCCTTGGTCTTCCTTAGATGGTAACAGTAGCAGGAGGGTCAGTACTTCCCTCAAAGTGAAGGTACTAGAGAGACCAGAGGCCATAGACCGCAAATGTAAACATTATCTACCTTGGGCGACTTCCATTTCCATCTGATGAGGAGGAGCAACAATACGAACAGCACTCCTGCCCCTGCGGCGGCAGTAGCATTCATGGTCTCATTCCCTCCGACCCATTTACGCCACTTGCACAAAAATTTTAAAATAACTGATGACAGCGACATTTAATGATTGATGTCGTGGTGTTTTGTTTGTTTGTTTTTTTGTGTGCAAAAAGTTTTTATGTAAGATTTTATTCGCGAGAAGGAACGTCAACAATCTGATGGTCTATGAAAGTTAATTAAAAACCTCATAGAAAAAGTTGAACAAACATTAATCAATATTTAATTCTTTATTATTACTGGCAGCTAAACCTAGCCTTGATAATCAGAGACAATCTGACAATGAATCTAAGGAAGCAAGAAATGATAAATCTGCGTATTTTAAGTTACTTATTCATATAACAATAGCCTTCGCTTGGCAGAGTTCTCAGTAGAAAAGTATTCTCATAATTAAATACTGGTAAGAAATTCTCCCGAAGGAAGAATTATTTATGATACATGAGGATACATTTCCATCTTCAAGCCTGTGTGAAGTGAAGACATATCTATAACATATCACCGTACGAAACAATACAGTATAGGAGATCCCCGTATAATCTGAATATAATGACTGCCCCCCTGGCTAGGGCGAAGGTATAACGAACCTGATTGTGGCTGAAGGATTTTGGACTCTAAATGTGGGTAGATAGGGTTGTAGGTAGGAGGTGGTCTGACAGCCATGTCCAGTGACAATGGTGTGGCTATCCATCAGAGCTGTCAACGACTCAGGTGTCGAAATTGTGATGGAGACCATTACGTGTTTGGATGGAAAGTGGGATGCTTTCATCGTTTGTAATTTACAATTCTTGTTCAAGCCAATTATTAAACTTTGAGTAGCAAAGCCTTAATTTTAACCGTAACTATAACTTACAAAGGACAATGGGCAAAATGGTACCCGGCTCCAATAGATATGTGTCTAGTATCGTTTGAAAGGTCTTACCAAGATGAACAACTTTTACTATGACCACCAGCCTCAGATCTGGTTGTGTACGAAGATATACATANTATAGGATACTTAGGAATTCCCACGGGCACGGGAATTAGCGGGAAAATCCTTTTGTATGAAAAATCTAAACTGCTTAAGTTAGACGCTTGAAATTTGGCATGTAGGTACCTTAGTAAACTCAAAGCTTAGTTACAACAGGATATTGCAAAATTCCCACGGGAACGGGAGTTAGCGGTTAAAAACATTGGTATGAAAAATCTAAACCGCGTAAGATAGATGAAGGCGGTAAAACGGGATCCACGCGAACGAAGTCGCGGACGGCCGCTAGTAACATTATAAAGCTGAAGAGTTTGTTTGTTTGTTTACTTGAACGTGCTAATCTCAGGAACTACCGGTCCGATTTGAAAAATTCTTTCAGTGTTAGATAGCCCATTTATTGAGGAAGGCTATAGGCTATATACCATCTCGCTACAAGTAATAGGTGCCGAGCAAAAATGATTTTCACGCGTACGAAGTCGCGGGCACTGCTATTACTCGTATAATATTAAGATAGTGAAGGAAATAACATAATTATCGTCTTAAATACTGAACTAAAAATCGTCAATCATCTTCGATGGTCCGACCTTTTACAGCAATTGATTTCAACTGGAACAATTTTTCATTTTATTTATAAGGAAAACAGAATACAGCTTTGTGTAAGTACTTAAATGAGATCCCATCAAAAACAATACTTGTCAACTTTCCTATTACCATAGGAACGTATGCTAAAATAGTTTGGTTGGTTACGCGGTTGTTTATCATGGAGGTAGAACTTACAAGTTTAACTAAGTTCTTTGTGTACTGTCTTTTCATTTTCGATTTAAATCTCTATCTGTTATTTTATTACGATGATTTTTCTTTAGAAATCAGAAAGACTGAGTTGGTCGAAAGTTCTATTTTTAATTTTGTAGCATATACTCTTAGGCTGAGTTGCACCATCAAACTTTGACCGTAACTTTATAACCGGTGATTTTTGTATGGAGTTTGACAGATTTTTGACGTTTGTTACAGTTAAAATAAGATGGTGCAACCCAGCCTTAGTAATTAACTCTACGGCTTATAAATCTAGAGAGACTTGCCCTCTTTACGGTTTGAATAATTTAATCATTTCAGCCATAGGACGTCCACTGCTGAACATAGTCTCCCCCAATGCTTTCCATGTTGATCGATTGAAATATTGAATATTGATAGAAATAGTAATTTCTTAAAAGAATAAACCCTTCAACAAACCTATGTAGGTACCCTATACCTACTGTTATTATAATTCCTAATGGACTTGGTATTACATGGATCTCACAAATTTTTACCGTAGAACAACTGAGTTGCGAGACTTGGTTTTTTTGACAAGTATTGTTTTTGATGGGATTCGATTGGTCTAAGAAGTATTCTCGAGTTTATTTGATACAATTTAAAAACAATTACTAATACAAACACCACTAAAACTCACTTTTAACTGACCATCTTTGGTCATAAAATAGTAAATGCTTTACGAATCCTCTAAAACTTCCAATTAGTACTTTATCTACGCATAGGTATCAGTAATTTATTATCTTTCTTTTTAAGCTAAGCTAAACTAAAATAGCCTAAGTTTCTAGCTATCTCATTTAATGTAATACACAATCAGTCTAACTAATTCACGCCACTTTTCTGTGTGGTATGCCACAGGGAACTATGTTAGGTCTTTTGATGTTCCTAACGTCTTTCCTAATTATTTTTAGATTATAGTAGCATAAGTAATTAGGCAAAATTACTATGATTAGAAAATTTACTTTCAGCTGAAATGATCTAATTTACTACTGAATCTTTAAAGAGGTATGCTACACAACACATTACCACCTTGTAAAGTATGGGGCCCTCGACTGAGATTGCCTCATTAATTTAACAGCGAGGAACACTTAAGCTAGGCTTGCCAACATTTCGCAAATGAAGTGGCGGCTACATCAAGCCAGCCAACCTTTACACACGAAAATTCCAATCTTAATCTTAATACATGTAACATAAGGTTCAAATTCACGTGAACATCTACACCAGATAACTTTGCCCAAGTATGAGAACACCGGAGTTAAGTTCACGGCATTATCGCCCTTGTGAGTGCAGGTAGTCCCCTTTTGATTTGTAGGGTAATCTACTCCTGAATATTGCCTTACTTCATTGTTGTTAATTTACCTCCTTTAATGGAGGGCTGGGCGGAATTTTGATTATGTTTTGCCGGATGCCAAATATTTGAACATTCTGCTTTGAGGATAGTAATTAACTACACAGATATACATTCTATCCCTTTCTATTTTATTAATTGATTAATTTAATTAAGGCATCGTTGGGATGAAATATCAATAATTAATTTTACTTGTATGTGCAAATAATATTGTAAAAATTGATCAATAGAATTACATATAGCGAAATTATTTAACATACTACTTAATTAGATCTTAAACTCACTTTTTTAATCTCTGTATCTATAAAAGCGAAAGGTCACTGATTGACTGACTCCCTCATCATGAAATCTCAGAAACTACAAGTGCTAAGAGTCTCAAATTTTGCATGGGGGTCCTTTTAGAACGTCAGTGCTCATTAAGACGGGATTTTGCAAAATTCAACTCAAAAGGGATTCACGCGTACGAAGTCGCAGGCGGCCGCTAGTTTCTAAATGTAAACAAATCGCATAGGTACCTTTAATTCACCATTAAAAAAGCCAATCGTCCCCATTTATGTGTTATTTGTCCCCACATCCCGGGGCTGTAGGTCAACAGCGGAATTGTATTAAGGCAAGCAAACAAGTCCAAATGTGGCGCCCTCTGTAGTGAGCCATGCGCCAATTTTATAGAGATCCTTTCGTTTTAGATTCATCATCATCATTTCAGCCATAGGTCGTCCACTTACACACACACTATGGAACCGGCTGGGAAGGGGTATCTTTGTTCAACAATTGCGTCGAAACTAATAGACGTAGACTAAAAAAAATACATTCGTTTTGTAGAATAGCTCAAACACTAATAATACAATGCAAATAAAACATACTTTAACGACCTGGTTTTTCTTGTGTTGGAAAATACCTGAAAAAGAAGTGAAAAAAATCATGTCTTTTTCTAATTAAATCCATTCTTACTTCCATAAAATGTATGAAACTTGTGTCTGTTTTCTACTTCTACTAAAAGATAATTTTATTGGCTATCGCATGATATAAAATATTTGCTTATTAATGTTAAGCTACCCACGCTTTCACTTGTTTTTGAAGGAAGAGGTGAAAACTAAAAATTAAAAACTGAAATCCTTGTAATTCTGCGATAAATGGGTCAAGCCCCAAATTTAAAGTATTTTTATCGATAAAATTGACCATAGATTACGCCCTTAAAGTTTGATCACTACATGCCCGGACACACTTGTATTTAAAAATGTTATTTTTTATAAAAGTTTTACGAAGTGTATATATGTGTATTGATACGGAACCTTGATACGCGTCCTCACTCACCCCTATCAGTTATTTTTTATAGTTCCACCATAATTTGCTTTAGGGTATAACGATAATTGATTGTACTATGGCTTAGTATTCCATTATGCCGGGCTCAGAAGGCCGGGGTTTGAATTTGTGCTGCTTGGCGTCCCAGAGGAATACATTTACCGGAATAGTTTAACAAATTAAAAACAACACGGGGTTTTAAAGGAGAGATTTGGTAAAAATACTCTTGGCAATTCGTACTTACGCTGAGTTGCACTAACTTTAACCGTAACTATAACCTTAACCAGTGTTTTATGGAGTTTGACAGATTTGACGTTTGTTACAGTTAAAGTAAGATGGTGCAACCCAGCCTTACGATATAATTACTACACTACGGAGTGCTACAATGCTACGAGAAAACGCTACAGGCTACGACACGACTTCGTAGCGTAAATATTATGGGCATTTATTAATTATCACCTTTCTCAAAAATTTCCTTTGAAGTCTTTGTGTAATCTTATTATTGAGGCTAATTACCACCCTATCTACTTAAATTACATACTAAGGCTTAGGCTGGGTTGCACCATCTTACTTTAACATTCACAAACGTCAAAAATCTGTCAAACTTCGTACAAAAAACAGCGGTTTACAGTTACCGT